GCAAGAACCGCTTTTAAACGACACCGGTTTCATCTACTCCGAGACAGCTTGAGGCTATCAAATTCCTGTCATCGTCAATGTACGAGTAATCGTCTAAAATATAATAAAGTTAGAAATTGTTAATGAGTGGCATGCCAAATCGTCTCATGACGAAGGAATTTGTGCCATCGGTAATTTCTTCGAAGATAATTACGCTATATCGAATTAACGAACGAGTTAAAAGTGAACTGATGACTCTTGTAATGAATCTGTCAGATCTACTGTTGTGCTTAAATGGGTGAAAAAATAGACAGCCGTGCAGTGGGTTAGACGGTTAAGCCAATAAGGTACGAGGGCGGTTCATATAATAACGGTATATGAAACTACTACTACTATTCTACATCAGCGCCATCTATGTGTGCACTGTAATTAATTCAGAAATGTGTTGTGAAAAGAGAAGTAGGGTGTTAGAGTCTGCTACTGACTCACAGATGGCGTTAGGATCTTCAAACATTTCCTGAAGGCGAAAATACTGCTGGTGTCACTTGTAGTATAATTGGTATCGGACAAATCTGAAAGAATTATTCCGATAGCTTGATTAATATGCGCAGTGACACTAGAAGTGTTATACCCAGAAAAAAATAACTTCTTCAACTTGATTTTGCGGCAGCGATGTAGTTACACATCATACCGATAACATTCTTATGGAATTTTATTGACAAGTAATATGAAAAAAAAAATATTATTAAATATGTCTGTATTTCGATCCAAGGCTTATGATTTTTAATGATGAAATGTCCCTCTCTTTTTCTTTCCGTAATCAAAAATGGAGGGTCTTGTCGGAAAGAAGTGACTTGACCTTGACTTGACCTTGACGGTTATTCTCGTCGTCAAATCAGTGAAGTTCTAACCACCCGTATTTTCTTTTCATCAATACAGGGTGTAAACGTTACGATAGTCATTATTCAAATGGGTGATAGAGGGAGTTAAAGGAAGAAGAATGTTTCATGTAACATGGGAGACCTTGAAGAAAAATAAAATCTGACAACGGAACGCGGTGTAAATAGAGACGGAGTTTGTCATTTTTGGCTCTTAGGTAAAAATAACCGCTGTTACTGTTTGCGATCGATTGCCGGTTCGATAAGAGTGAAGAAAGACCAACGAGCTGTTGTCATGTGCGTTTTAAATATTTATTTTGATGAAACTTACTTACTGACTACAAATTTGGTTAAACTTAGAACAACTTAATGGCATTTATTTGTTAATTATCCAATTTAAAAACGTTTTAGATTAGAGCATAAAAATTAGTAAGATTATGATGATTGTGGTCGATATAAATCACTTAAAGTTGTAAACTATAAAGCTATTCAGACAAAAATCTATTGACTTGTGGACCATGGGTCATATACACTTTTTGACTTGCTTTGATCCTCCCTATTACCCACTTCAATAATGACCTACCATAATGTTTACACCCTGTATATTAACCTAAATAGTAATGCAAACTGTCAAGACACAGCAGTAGTTAGTACGTAGGTTATATCAGTCTTCTTCTTTTAAAAGCGCCTACTCGACTGTGTAATAAAAAATACGGCCTTCCGTTTAAAAAAATATTTTCGGCTGGGGCAAAATTGTGAATATTTTGAAATTGTGCCCTCAGATACCATATATCTCAACTCATGAATAGTTTCCTTTGATATGTTTGAATTCATGAACAATACTCCGTTATTGCACGATCGTAACGCCCCGTATATCACGTAAATGCTTCATAGGATCGCTAAGAGCCGATGAGAACTTACGATCAAGATGCTTTGGAGAGCTTATTCCCAAAGTCTGAGCAAGATTCGCCCTAGACTGATTTCCGTACGGTTCGTGCCCCGTCCTTTGCTGAGTGAGTGCGAACTACAGATCCACTTGACTTCATTTCTTTTTCCTGCTCTGCCGCCGCGATCGCGTCGACTGCAATTAGTGCGGAATCGATACGAATCAATTAAACACAGCTATGACTGAGGCTATGGTTATGGCCACGTAACTTTCACCTAAACTTTATCGTATCTTCTGATCAATCGCCATCCGATTCAACCTGATCCAGTTCCGACACTTGCGGCACAATCGCGGTTTGTTTTCAGCCGAATCGCGAACACCCAAGCTATTAATACCTGTCGGTCTGTATAGCGAGGAATTGGGACACCTCATCTAAATCTACAGTCATACTTGTACTAACAGAAAAAAATGAAGCTAAGCAAATTGATTCTGCACTCCCCGTGCGATTCGTAAAGGCGCAAGCGAGCCCAACTAACAATTATCACTCCTATTGAAGAGTTGCAAGAACGGTTATACATACTTCCTTTCACAGCATTGTATGCTGTAAGAACATTGGCAAAACGCTCTTAGAACAGCTATACAAACAGAAAGGGCACACCTGATAGGGCACTTCAGTCATTTAAAAGGTTGTAGAAGGGCTGCAGTTAACAGTTATACAACAAAAGTGTAAGCTTCTTGCAGCCGCTATAGAACATATGCGTCAGTGCGAGATTCAGCTTTTGTCAACTATGCAACTATTCTGTTACGTGATTCTACTTTATTGCAACCAAACTATTTCTTATACAGCGCTACACAGAGTATATATATAACTAATTTTTTAGCTACTATCTGTTTTTGGTTTTCCGTTGTTTGGTAAACAAATCTGGATATTTCTGAATTGTTTCTAAAAGTCGTGGAAAGTGAGAAAGTTTTCGGTATTTCGGTAAATAAGGTAGGTAGGTAAGTCGGTAGGTTTGGCGACACTGCGTCGATCAGGATTATTTATCTGCCCGCAGAGCTAATCCGTTTTCAATCGGAAACCTTGATTCTAATTTAAAAAAAAAACATCGTTCATCTAAAAGTATATATGAAACAAAAAAGATAACTTTATAGACAGGCCATAACAGCATTCTATAGTACACGTACAAAATTGGAGATTCAGTAGACCTCAATACGACGTCGATATTATGAACAACCACGTCAGTTGACGAGTTATCACTAGATTTCGACGTCAAAAAAAATCATTTAGAAATCTACTCTATATAGAGCTGAAGCTTTTGGTTCTGCTACTCTCTCATAGATGGCGCTAGTATGTTTTAGCTCCCTTCTTGTTCGCCAGAATATCGTATGTGAATTTGCCATTTTGAACGACTCGGCGATTGCTTCTCTACGCTTTGCTGTGTTCGTATCTACCGCTTGTAGCATTCCTACGTGGTTATTATGAAGGCAGTAGAGCACGTTGTGATTGCTGAGGAGTCGGAGGGTCTTAAGATCGGTTCATTCTAATTTATTTGCTCCGATGGAACCGATGAATGGTACGCTCGCGAGCGTACTGCTAGTGATCGTGCTGGTCATCAGAACTTATTCGACTAGTATCCTAGAGATCCATTTGCTCGGCATGCGTAAATGATCCCATTGTATCTCCACGCCAGGTGATCAATTCTCATTGACAACGATTAGTGTTTAACCTACATTATTGCTGCTAAATGCAGAATGCGTCGCATTCGACGGCTTACATAGATGCGCCGACTAATCGCTATGTAATACGCTATACTTTTTTGCTCGTTTTTGGAAAAAGGAGCCACCAGCATGGCTACGTGGAATCTGTACAGATTTATCAGGTCGCCGATGGTTTTATTTATTAGATACATTCTTAACATAGACTGAATTGCTTTTTTAATAGCTGAAATAGATTGTCTGTATTTATACAGGGTGTGCCATGTAGATGTGCAGCGATTGAGTGCTCGAAAAGTAGACGTTCGGCAATGTGAGGAATTGACCTGACATATTTTTGAAATGTTGTCATTTTTGTTTTTATCAGATGTAGATACCGACTTGCTTATTTCAAATGGAATACCTTGTATATTATTCAATTCGTTGTGTGTATAACATCTTAGTTCGAAGCCTACTGAGCGGAGTCGTGGCAAATGCTTGTTCCGAAAGTTATTGTATCCAGTATACAACTTCTTCCCGTTCAAGTGATTGGACACGCGTTAAGGGATGCCTCAGAACCGATTGCCGTGTGGCGGGACACTTTAGGTCTGTTTAATATCACTAAAACGTAAAAAGATGGTAGACAAGGACCAGTCGACCGAGGCGGTACTACCCGATAGCTTCTCCCAGGGTGTCGCATGTTTCCACACTTAAGCTATGCGGTCGATTATTTTCCAAAACAAATAAATTAATGACGATCTCTCGAGCACTAAGAACTCCGGACGTAAACTCACTCCACTCTCGGAATTTCCGGGTGGAGGGTGGGCTTGAGGGAACAACATCGAAGATAATATTTGTTTTACGAACATCTGCGGGATTAACAGCAACATTGATGCTGTTCATCACTAACCGCAATCCAATCGTCCCGCCATGCTTTTCTCGGAGGAGGCAAAAATCTCAGACTCTGCACCGATTAACCATCTTTACTTCCCAAACTACGAGGTGAATTCCGATCAGAGGAAGAGCGGGGCAGTTGTGGCTTTTGTCCGCAGCAGTCTTCCCTGCTCCAGAGATGTTCCTTAGGGATCGATCTTGGCTCCGATACTGTTTCTCTTACATTCAACGACCTCCTTTCCTGCACGATCAACGTAATCCACCAATTTCTTTGGAATCATCGTAGCAGCCGCGGTGCTCCGGCATTTAGGCTTCTGCCTGCGCGGCTGCTTCGATATAAAAAAGGTTTCTCACTGCTTTAACCCTTTGCACTTTGCGTCGAGTTAAATAATAAGATGACTCGCTGTCGTTACTGACGTTGTCTTTGAGCGCGCATCTCTTAAAACTTAACTCTGAGATTGATATTTTTGAGTTTCATTTGCTAAGTCGCCGTATTTCGTTCTAACCGTGAAACTCGTCTAACTGATCGCGTTTATTAAACGGCGGCGGTTGTCTCGTTTGAGTGCACATGACAAATGATTGGAAAATTGAATGAACTCCATTGAATATTCATCTAACATTATACAGGATCTTTTGCTCTTATTATATAGTATGTTTCGTTCTCGTTGCAGGCCTAAGTATGCTCTGGCTGGCCATCTTGGGCGCCATTCTGGTATGGTCAGCAGCGCTACGAGGTGTCAAGTCGGAACCACGAAATCAAGGTAGGTCGCTTAATATGTGTCTGTGTAGACTGTTGGAATTAGGATTCAAAGTCTGAAAAAAATGTGTTACTTCATACACTAAAATTTTGATTAGTATGTAATTTTTTATCTTCGTTGGCTTAATATTAAAGGAACCTCAGGCGGCAGAATCTTCGGACCCAAAACGAGACTCTTTTGGGAGATATGACATTTGTGTCTCGAATACGCAATACTCTACTACTACCACCTGTAGGATTACGTCGAGAGTCATTCCACTGCACTGTCAGTGTCATGATTGTCATAATGATGAATTGACTGACGAATCGACTATAATTTTGTGATAATGTGATGAACTAAAAAAATTAATAACTGTGTGCAAGAAAATACAAGGTCCATTGCAAATGAATGGTTTGCAGAACACGGAAGACCTATTGGCATGCGAAGTGTTTACCGACGAATGAGAAGTTTTGGCTTGTTTTCATACCGGCCACACTGGGTCCTCCCTTTAACTCGAGAACACCGACGTAATCGCCTTGAGTGGTGCAGACAACGGTCACTCTGGGATCAGGAATGCAACAGTATTGTCTTTAGTGACGAGTCTCGATTTTGTTTAGGCATGCACGATGGTCGTGCCAGGGTTAGAAGGCGACGTGGTGAAAGGAGGAATCCACAGTTTTTTGTTGAAAGACATGTTCATCACACTGTTGGAGTTATGGTTTGCGGTGCTATAGCTTGTGGTTCCAGGTCACCTTTAATCTTCATCAGAGGTAACATGAACGCGCACGAAGTTCTAGAACCCCATCTTTTCCATCTCCAACTTTTCAACAAGATAATGCCCGACCACACGTTGCAAGAGTCACAATAGACTTCTTTCAACATAATGATGTCACATTGTTACCATGGCCACCAAGATCTTCCGACTTATCCCCAATTGAGCACGTGTGGGATATGATGGGTAGGAGATTGCTCAATTTGCAACGTCCTCCTCAGACTCTAGAAGCACTTCGAGAGGAGTTGGTGGTTGCCTGGAATGAGATACCACAGGAGAACATTGACCACCTGATCAGAAGCATGCCTAGGCGCGTTGGAGAATGCGTAGCACATCAGGGTGCATCCACACATTATTAAAGGTCAAAGGGCTTTAAGCAGTGCAATCATTAGAACCATTTAAACTGGGTGTTCGGATTTATATGTCACTTAGTACATTTAACTTCATATTCCTTTTTATCAAAGTTCATTGCCCAACATATTGACATAAATAGTGAACTATAAACAGATATATGCATTCCTACGTCACAAAAACTACTCAGTTAACGCTTCCCGGCTGTAATCAACGCGCCACTTGGCTGACAAAAAACTGCAACTAATTACGAAAATTACAATCTGTCATCCTATTCACGGCATCACAGCTTCATAACTCGCCTCGGCGACAGCGTAAATATAGATGAATATCGATCGTTTAGCAGATTCTTTTTTGTATGGACAGAAAAAGGTGATTCGTTCTTGGACGTGTACAGTGATGTCAAACTTGGAAGCTTCTTCGTTTTCGTGTCGTTCAGAAAATCTAGAATTCGAAGCGAGGAGAAGATCTGTTGCGAGAAAGGAGGAGGGCCAATTAGGCCGGCTTTCGGCCGAAATTTAATTAAGATGAAAATGTTCGAAATCGGTTCACTCCTACGCCTCCAAGTGACTCCCAACCACCCCCTGAAATAGTGGAAATACCGTGACCTTTTTTTATGAAAAATACCTCACTGGTAAACTATTATTTTCTAAATAACGTACAACTAACTCTATTGTAGCTATATATGATAATGAGCAGTTTCTTGACTATTTGGAAAATCTTATGTCAGCATTTCCAAAACGTCACATAATTGTGGGTGACTTTAATATCAATCAACTAGATACTCAAACCAACCTTGTTCAAGGTTACAAGGACAGTATAAACGTGTACATTTACAACATCTGCAATGAAATTGGTGATTGTTATGGTACCAGACTAACAGCAAACACGAAAAGTATTGTTGATCATGTATTACTAAAACAGGGCTACAACAAAAATCGCTCGGTAGTGGTTGAGGAAAATCTATTGTCACATCACTGCAAGTTACTGATTGTCTTGAAGGAAGAACGGAAAGTTTATAAAGAAAAAACTGTGCGCGATGTTGAACGTAATGATTATAAGAAGGTTAAATTGTTCGGAGAGCAAATTAATTCAGTTTCCAGCAACTTATAGATCTGATTTGCCAATGTAAGAACGAGACTGAATATAGTGAAGAAATAAAATGCCATGATAATATTATCTGGATTACCAAGGAATTCATGGACATGATAGCAGTACGACACAAACTATACAAGAGGAATATGTCACTGGCATCTGACCAGTCTCTGTTACACAAATCTGTTCGCTGTGACATCTTTTCCATTATTTAGTTTTTACAATCTTGTTAATAATGGTGAATTATTCAAATACAGAAATGGCGTGAATGCATCACGTATATGGCCTTGCCGACGGTAATGGTGAGCAAGCCAGCTGGATTTATCACCAGAGATATCCCGATCGTGCTTTGCCAGATCCTTTTCTAATATGCATCGTCGTCTTGTTGAAACTGGTTCTGTTCATGTAGATTAACATCCCTAAATATTAAGGAACACCACTGAAATGATCAAATTTTCTAAATTACGCAATTCACATGTTTGTATTCATATCTTTCGCTCTTTTATAGTCCATTTTGACATGCATTTTCCGTTTTCTTATGCGAACGCCTTTTCTAGTGATCTGGCAACGACGCTATACATACGGATAGATTTTTAATAGCAGAGTGCATAGGCATAATAAATAACATCAATCATTATAGCGTACAACACGACGCGAATCCCATAAAAGTGGCCGACTACGATCGTTGCCACCATTATCGCCGTGATGCCATTGCTATTACGCCGCGTTAGATTTACATTATCAGGTCGTTTATTTTTCGCCATAACCTATCGGCGTGCTAATGTAATATATGCACGGAAATATCCTCATTACCGAGAATGATCCAACTGATAATTAGCATAATTTCATCTTTTTCGTTTTGCTGGAATTATTATTGAAGAATGAAGAGAGGAATATGTAACTGTCTATATAATTATTATTATTAATAGTTCAGTAGTTATCTCAACTTAAATGGGCGTCATGTGCCTGAAAAAATGTTTCCTTTTTTAGAGCGCGACGAGCGTTAAAAAATAATTTCCTCAAGTTGTTCTTCTAGCAACAAAATGTTCGGATTTATATGTCACTCAGTATATTTTATTAAGCGGATTTCTAAAATAATTGAAAATACAGCTATAGAGAATTTATGTGGCCTAAGAAATAGTATCATAAAGCTTATTAAAACAACGGAACATTAAAAAAAGTTCGTATGAATGCTAGAGATATCGATGATACATCAGACAAGAAACCCTACTTGACGCACCTCCACCGTGAATATCGCTGTCCTCTCATAAATAGGGACCTCTCATTATAGCAGGGTTACACGATTCAAAAAATTAAACAATTTTTCAAGCTCAAAACTGTGGGACTCTGTGAAAATAAAAATTGCAGTCAATTTTTCGACAAGAATAAATCCATGAATTGAGTTTGTTCTAATTTTCCGGGGAATTCTACTTACCTTTGGTTCTTTTTCCTAGATACCTACCTACCTTTACTATTTGACGAGTTCACGTTCAGAGATTGAAATTATAATCCTTACTGTTTAAATTGTTGCTATGGTTTTAATTTAGGATTTAATATTTCAACCGATACATTTAATCTGTATGTTTACTGTCACATTTTTATTGGTTAGGTTACCTTTTGGATTTGTTCTCTGAGGTTGCGCAAGTAATTCAATAGCCGTATATCACAGTGGAGAAGTTTATCATATACCTGTATATGAAATTCACAATGGCCGATATGTAGGTCGTGTATACAATAGATAAGAAATAGTTTGGTTCCAATAAAGTAGAATCACGTAACAGAATAGTTGCATAGTTGATAAAAACTGAATCTCGCACTGACGCAAATGTCCTATAGCGGCTGCAAGAGGCTAACAATTTTGTTTCATAACTGTTACCTGCAGCACTTATTTAACCTCTTAAATGACTGAAGTGTCCTATTAGGTGTGCCCATTCCGCTTGTATGGCTGTTCTAAGAGGGTTTTGCCAATATTCTTACAGTACACAATACTGCATAATCATTCTTGCAACTCAATAGGAGTGATAATCGTTAGTTGGGAATTCATTCGTGAATTTATTTGATTACGTATTGCGGCTATTAACTATTGAATTTTTTGATTTGTCGCAATGACATACTGCCCCACGCTACATGCCATCAATATACATATATGACAAGCTATTATTTTTGTTTCAGCGTATCAAATAAATCCAAAGCCTTGTTGGGTGGACGGACACGAAGGAACTTGCATGTTTGTGTATGAATGTATCAAGTCTGAAGGTTACCATATAGGTGAGAATTATTATCTACAAAATCGTTACAAAAAGACGTAAGAGCCAGATGTATAGGGTGGAACATCTATGTGTGGACGGAATATTACAAAAAAAAAGATACATTTTGGGAGAATCTATTCATGGGATGTTATACATGACATTTGAGGGCACATTCCTAAAATAATGGTCATTATACAGGGTGTCCCAATTTCGACATGCATGGAAGAGCCACCCTGTATATACCTTCCAATAGGCGTGATCAGTTGTGATCACACACTGTCATATCAGAAAGATTTCTCTTTGTTGGTTGTTTCTATATGTATATGCTACTTTGTGAAATACCGCAGTAATTGCATATGATAGACGTAATCGACAACCTGAAGCCAGCGGAGCACTTGGGTGCAGCGGTTGCCTATATTCAGTTTTTTACTTCTCGCAAATGCGCTGTAATTTGAGGATACGAACACATTGCAAATTTGCTGTTTTTTATTGATATTTAGCACGAATAACCCAAATCGTCCCTATTTTTTCATCAAAATGATAAATCATACGCCCAGCAAAGAAAAATCTCTGACATCGATGACAGCCTGTGATGAGAACTGCTACACATACTGCCGAATGAAAACGTAAAACCTCTGTTAAGAAAGCCTCATTGTTTCACTGTTCTCAGGAAGATACGTGATATCCATCGCTTCCAATAAAGCCTCACGCCTCAAGGAAGTCTACAAATGTGACTCTAGAAGCACTCATAATATTACCTAACATACAAAAACTGCATATCACATGAATATTATAGCAACTTTTATACTTGATCATGGCCTCGCGATGTCTTTTAACTTTTGCAAATACGTACACTCAGGTCATCCTATTGCTAATATAATTTGCAATTTTTACGTTCGGATTTTATCACTATTTGTTTCCATCTGCAGGAATGTGCGTGGACACGTTTATGTTCGGCTCGTGCTGTGCCCATAACACCACCTCGAATACAGTGTTGCCGCGTCCACATAACGTTCACCAAAGCAACGCCGCCCAGCCGCAAGTGTTGTACGTGGCGCCATCTAGTCAAAGTCAAAGTCACTCCCCGTCTACTGCCAGTCACAAGCTCACCACTAGACCAGCACTTGCTCAACATTATTCCAGTAGCACCAATAAGCCCAAACCTACAAGGTAAGAGATCACGGAATAAATAAATCAGAAGCTACACTCAGGCAATTCGGCCATTTGCATTGTCAACCGGCGGTAAACCGACGCGTCCTTCCTTTTCAGCTTGAAACTTTTCGGTTCTTTCCAACAGCGAATTTCTGAAATGAAGTGTCACGTATGACACCAGAATCGACCACTGCGGAAAGCGTATAAGTGCTTTTAGTTGGAACTTTTAGGGATCTTAGCTCGCGTATAATAGCAGGGTCACCTAGTGGCCGCTAGATGGCTGACGATTCTGTAAGTGTGGTCTACTTGCCATTGAACAAGCGAAAGCATGCTGCGGCCAGAAAGACAGCCAACCATGGACAGTTGTTTCGTGCTTTTTTGAAACTCATCAGCATGGCATAGGCGTGGTATTTTGTCTCCAGGCGAACCAACGTATCGTCTATCAAAATAAGACAGCGTGAAACGCCATCTATCTTACCAGAATCGACCTCTGCGGAAGACGTATATCTGTATATTTGGAATTAGTTTCTGATGGTACGGTCATATACAGAGTGACTCAGAAAACACGCCAGGTGGATTGGCTTCAGATCAATCAGATAAAGTCAACATAACCTTAGTAAAGGTTTCCTAGTTTTCGAGATATTGCCATTTTTAAGTTTTTCCAAAAAAATCATACTTTTGCTCCTTTTTTGCCTGTTGTGGCTATAAAGAATTTCTACCTTATGATTTTTTCCGGGGCTAACATTGATAGTTGGGTGAGAAAACCGGGTATTTATTTCATTGAAAACTAGTACAATATGCTGAAAAAAAAAAAAATTATACAATTGGTTTTAATGCGAAAACCTTTACTAAAATTTCACGAATTACTGTGAAAAAAATGTACCAGACTGAATCAGCAAATGACCTTTTGCATGTTCTTTTCAAAATAGTATAACATTTGTAGATGCTTGTTACTAAATAATTCCAAGTCATTGAAGTCGTAATACTTGCGAAATACTACAAATAAAAAATAGTAATTGCAGCTGTCTTTTGTGTCCAAATTACAACTTTGTAGTATTTTGATGCCTGCATACAATAGTGATTAAAAAATAATGATGGATAACTGTTTTAGCATTTGAAATAAAAAGCGATTACAGCAACAGATTAATTTGGAAAGCTGCATTATTTTCTATTTGTTGTGTTTCGCAAGTATTACGACTTCAATGACAATGCTTGGAACCATTCAGTTTTTAGTAAAAAGAACCTACAAATGTTAAACTATTTTTGAAAGAGCATTAGGTACCTAATTTTTAAGGTCATTTGCTGATTCAGTCTGGTAAATTTTTTTCACGGTAATTGGTAAAACTTTAGTAAAGGTTTTTGCATTGAAACCAATTTTTTTAGCTTATTTCCAATTAAATGGATACTCGGTAGTCTCAGCAAGCTATTAGGGGTCGAATGATACCTTATTTTAAAGGTCTTTCAATTCCCTTTATAATGACGTAAAATACATGAGCTTCAGTTCAGTAATTTTGAAGATTTATTGATTTAAGGCTTAAAGAGTAGACTTTAATAGGTACATCTGATTAGTACTACCTTCAGAAGAAATTTGACTAAAAGAATTTACTTAATAATTTACTTATTTTTTCTTCACTACACCCATAGTTTTTTTTATCATTTTGAAAATAGCTATTGGAGCGTTTTTTTGTGGCAAAAAAGTTATTTCTTGAAGAAAGATAAGGAAATATCTCGTATTTAGTACATAGTTTGCGATTGATTTGAACAAACTTCGTTGCTAAAATAACTTGTAACGCTTTATTGCTCAAATTAACTATGGTATATTCCACAGCAGAAAGAGTTGAAATTATCGAAATATTTTTCGGAAATAATCAGTGCGCTAATAGAACTGCAGAAATATTTAATGAGCGGCACAAGATTACTCCTGCGCCAATGCACCAATTATGAAAAACAGCAGCATTACGTAAGCACGTGCATTTTTCTTCAGCGATGTATCTGGAAAACCGTTATTCCTTATCTATATCGACTGGTCTATTGAACCCACTTTCCCTTTCATTTCAGTGTTAGCAACAGTCGTCCACATGTGACTACGCCCAAAACGGTACCTGGAGCGCCATCTGCTGGCGAGAGGCCCGAGTTCTCGTCACGCATTCCGACGCAGCCTCCCCACAGGCAAGTAGGAACGTGTAATCAAACGTAAAACTGAAAGTATTGTCGATTTTGTATGTACAGATGGGAGTACTAATATTGTTATGTGCCCTAGGTGCATTTATTTCTCGACATTGAAGATCGAAACATCGTATTTTCATTAATGCATGGAAATTAAAAAGTAGTGATGATAATCGGAAACCCAGCGATAGAAAAACCCTTCCAACTAACAATTATCACTCCTATTAGAGTTGCAAGAATGATTATACAGTATTCCTTAAACAGCATTGTATACTGTAAGAACATTGGCAAAACCCTCTTAGAACAGCTATACAAGCGGAATGGGCACACCTAAATAGGACACTTCAGTCATTTAAGAGGTTAAATAAGGGCTGCAGGTGCAAGATTCAGTCTTTGTCAACTATGCAACTGTTCTGTTACGTGATTCTACTTTATTCCAACCAAACTATTTCTTATGTGTTGTATAGACGAAGTGAAGAATATATAACTAACACATTACAGTCATCTTGTTTACTCATATATCGGCCATTGTGAATTTCATACACGGGTATATGATAAACTTCTACAGGGTGATATAGGGCTATTGAATTACTAATTTTATTGTGACTATCGTGCAGATTAGTTACCCAATTTCTACAGGCTTCGTATTCGATTCATATTTTGACAAGGATCAAAAGGATGTCTAGATTTTTAAGAAAAAAAGAGGACATTCTTTACTATTTTAACGGAGATACAATAACTACGATTAATAATCTTATTAAAAAGGAAAGGGGTCACTGAGATGTGGTACCTGAAATTGCTAGATATGAATAAAGCTAACGCTACATCGTTGAAATTCTTATGGTTAATATGGGAAGACATGTTTATTATATTTTTTAAAAAAACCTTCGAATTTGTTGAGCTTTTTTGCGAGTAATCTTAGCTAAATAATAACGAAGAATCGGGCAGTGAGAGCTCACTTATTTACGAAGTCATGATCAAGATGATCCAAGAGCTCGAATTGAAACCGGACTGATCACACACATAGGTATGATTTGGTCTCCCTCTAGGGCTTCCGATTATCACTACTTTGTGGGACACCTTGCATAGACACAAACTCATTATTTGAATTTGACAGGCACAGTAGTCGACCAGCATCAGGGATGTCCACTGATTCTTTCGTCCTGACGAACTCGTTGATTGTGTATACCAAACCAGGATGGCAGAGTACCACGGAACCAGCGTTCATCACTAATAACAAGGTACTGCAAGTTTAACGTTCATTTTTCTGAAGTAACGTGAGCTTTGCAGAGAAGGATTTTTTTAACGATACTTGTTTTATTTTCCAGCATCATACAGATAAGCATTCCGATAGGCCGACGTCGCAATTTTTTTCTGTGACGACAGAGCCTCCACCAGCCTTTGTCACCAAAGTGAAGAAACCTACCAGCTACAAACCGAAAAATAAACCGACGAAAAAACCGGTGCAGGGGACGACGAATAAATATAGCACCAAGTACGGAGCTAAGAGCACTCCTAGGCCCACTACCACTAAAAGGTATTGTGTTGTGTGTGATATTCATCTTTTATGCAAATAATTATGCATAAAGTCCCAAAATTCAATGATATGCTGAAAACACTCTCAACGATATCCCTAATGATTTCAGAAAACGATCAAAGCTTCAATTGCACTTCTAAAGGCATCTTCATCATTCTTGAAAATGAGAACAGATTCATCATTTTTAAGAATGTATTTATTTCCATGTATGCTTTTAGACGTGCTTTCACCTTTTTTAAATGTCCCCTGTTTCATGTTCGACGTTCATCATAGGGGTTTTAGAAACTGTAAGAGATACAAAGTCGCTTAAATGGCCCAAACTTGGGTATTCTGGTAGTACACAAAATCCTGCTTAGACGATTTCGGAATACAAAAAAAAAACAGAATTTTCCTAAAATTGATTTATTTTTTTCGAGTTGTGCATTCCAAAAAACATATCTCATTTTTCGCGATTACAATACTTTCTTGATTGTTGGGGTGGGAACTAAAACATCTTTTTAAAAAAACTGCATTAACAGAAAAAATCAAAGATTTCCAATTTATTGTACTGTACAGTGTCAGTGCCATGCGAATAGAAGTATTTAGTAAAAAATGATGTTTTTCGTAGATTTAAAAATTAGGCGTAAAATTTCCTGCCTAGCACGACCCATATTCCGGTAGAGAAACACGTTTTCTTACGTTTCCACCAAATATCCTGTCCACTTACAATTTTCTCCAACTATTTTGCTGTACTTCTTAGCCTATAAGCGGAAATAATATGAGTAATAATTATAAGTTAGATTAAGGCAAAGCTCCTTCCATAAATTTTCCTCGCTTGACAGCACACAGACTTTCGGCGACGTCTGAGAAGGTAATGAGAAAGGAAGGGCGGAAAATTGAGAGTGCAGGATTTTCCAAGCGCTATTAAAAAATGCATACGGGGTCGCCCAACGTAAACGTCGAACCGCCATTTGTGAGTCTCCTGGTATATTTTATTATATTAAGTTTATATAAAATTCAATCGTTTAGAATCTCTTTGAGTTCATAATAAAATTCGACTGACTTAAATTGATACTGAAAATGGAATGCATTGTAAAAAACAATAATCATGGATACCAGCAAGAACATTTAGCATCAGTCAGTGTCATCGTATGTCATAGAAAAGCTTTGTATTTCCTTTCAAATTGTTAAGTTACCTACCTAGTTTTGATAAATATTCAACAATGGCTTATTTAATTCAAGAAACGGTAGAAATAATACAAATGGGAGCATTGCAAAAGCTACTGCCCGGTTCATTCATAAAAAGATATTAACGATACGTACGTACGTATGTGGTTAAGTTGATAAGAAAATTTTAAGGAACTGGATCTATGCCTAATATTCCACGTAATAGGCATCAAAAAATCGACCAGTTAGAAATGAAGCCGCAGAAATAGATAAGAATAACATCTTTATTATTGCATGGATATAAATGGACACCACTGTCAGCACCTATTACCACCTTGACCTACCTGTTTATAGCAAATTAATTTTTACTTTAACTTAACTTTTTGTTTTTCCAATACTCGAGACTTGTTTTTAATTTTAAAGTTATGTTTTTTACTATATATCCCTCATTATCGCAATTTCTAAAATTTTATTATAAACTCAAATATACTAAGTGACATATAAATCCGAACACCCAGTTTAAATGGTTTTATTTTAATAAAATTTTGTATAAGTACTTAATGAAGCATAATAAGTAAATGATAAAAATTTCAAAATGATTGCACTGCTTTAAAGCCCTTTGACCTTTAATAATGTGTGGACGCACCCTGATGTGCTACGCATTCTCCAACGCGCCTAGGCATGCTTCTGATCAGGTGGTCAATGTCCTCCTGTGGTATCTCATTCCAGGCAACCACCAACTCCTCTCGAAGTGCTTCTAGAGTCTGAGGAGGACGTTGCAAATTGAGCAATCTCCTACCCATCATATCCCACACGTGCTCAATTGGGGATAAGTCGGGAGATCTTGGTGGCCATGGTAACAATGTGGCATCATTATGTTGAAAGAAGTTTATTGTGACTCTTGCAAGATGTGGTTGGGCATTATCTTGTTGGAAGATAGGGTAAAAGATGGAGTTCTAGAACTTCGTGGATATAACGCTGCGCGTTCATGTTACCTCTGATGAAGATTAAAGGTGACCTGGAACCATAAGCTATAGCACCCCAAACCATAACTCCAACAGCGTGATGAACATGTCTTTCAACAAAAAACTGTGGATTCCTCCTTTCACCACGTCGCCTTCTAACCCTGGCACGACCATCGTGCATGCCTAAAAAAATCGAGACTCGTCACTAAAGACAATACTGTTCCATTCCTGATCCCAGAGTGACCATTGTCTGCACCACTCAAGGCGATTACGTCGGTGTTCTCGAGTTAAAGGGAGGAGCCAGTGTGGCCGGTATGAAAACAAGCCAAAACTTCTCATTCGTCGGTAAACACTTCGCATGCCAATATGTCTTCCGTGTTCTGCAAACCATTCATTTGCAATGGACCTGGTAGTGGAGAAACGGTCCCTTAAGGCCAATAATCTTAGGCGGCGATCTTCACGGTCTGTTGTTCTACGGCGGCGTCCAGTGCCCCTTGCTATTTGCGTACGGCCTTCTCGAAGCCATGCCTGACAACACCTAACCACAGTGTCTACACTTCTTTGCACACTAACTGCAATTGCCCGAAAAGAAAGTCCAGCGTCCCGAAGTCCCACTATACAACTCACTAAGTTGACGAAATCGTACAGATCTCCGTACTCTAGGCATCGTAACCGATCGTAAAGAAGAAGAACCAAGAACCAAAATCCGCCAACATTGATTCTTTACTGCGGCTGAAATATTCATTTTTAAAGCGTTAGTGAATTAAAAAAAAGCAGTATAAAAACCGGAATGTCCAACTGATAAGGCTGAAAATTTTTTCACTTGTTATTTACAGTAAGATAAATACATTCACCAACTTTTATTAAAATAAAACCATTTAAACTGGGTGTTCGGATTTATATGTCAGTATAGAAACGATAAAAATAAGTGCGCCGTTAAGAATTCTCTGAGCCAGGAAATTACCTTCGCATCGATTTCAGGCCTCTAGAAGACGAAACAACTGCTCAAGCCAATGCGACTCAGGATGAGAAGCCAGCTAAGAAACCCAATACTTCACCGTTGCTCATGTCTCTTGGAAACAAAAAAATTGGTAAGTCTTTCGATTATAGCAATTTCGAATCGTAGATGCGCATTTAGTTAAACCAATCTGGCTGTGTCAGCGATGAGTAGCTGTCTTTATTAATGGTGAAGTACGTGACACCTTTAGCTGGAGCAGCCCTTTGGCCGAGACTTCTCATTAGTTCAGATTAGTTACAGCGTGTGGACTATTTGTATTACCTTTGTGAGTTTGTAATAAGAACAGAGAACAACGTTTACTTTTAATAAATAACATCATTGAATTAAAGCCTTTCCGCTATTTTCATTTTCCGGACCAAGCAAATGACAGTTTTGGAAAAGGTGTTAAGTCAGATTTTCAACAAACTTTTTCAAATTTCTGAAAATAAAATCGAGTTTTTTAACAAAACTGTCTATTCGAGATACTTCGATGTTTCTAAAATAATCTTCAATAACAAAAGCAGCCCTAACACAATTCAATAAAAAATGTCAGGATTCAAACTTTGAGGCAAATTACCCGCAAACTAGTCAACACATTTTTGCAGCAAAAGCTTCATTTTAAAAATGTGCATACTCAAAATACAACTAATATTTGGGCGTAAAGAATGAACTAACGCATATTTTCAATAGGCATCTTAATTCAAGCAACTGGTATTGGCAACGCTGCAGATCGCACGACCTTCTGCGTTACCGTTGCTAGGCAACACGACCTTCGCTATCCAGCCGGCTTCTATCTCTTTCTAGCATATGTGCCTCACACACTTCTCTCTCGTAAATATTGAACTCGCGCCCGCCAACAAAATTTGATCATCAGTGAATATTTTGTTTATTTGTCTTTTAAGAAGTTTTGCTTGATAGTCTGTTTGTGAAGTGATCACTTATTCAGTGGACCCCCGATAATCCGGCCGCTGTCTAATCCGGCGCCCCCTGTAATCCGACATGTCTGTTAAATATCGACAGTTTCTGAAATGTATACATGATAAGCTGCGCCGCAGCATAGTCGACAGAAATTCTATTTAGAATAGAATACAATTTACGACCATAGAATATTAACATATCCATGGCACGCCAGCGTCGATAACCAAACTAAATTTCCTCTCGCTTTGCATTTCGATTTCGAGTTCGGTTTGAACCGAGTGACCGTTGCCAATATATCACATCACTTCCCATCTCCATTTAAATAGCTTATTGTAGCGAAATTCAGAATTGGAAGCTGTGCCGCGATCCGATTTAATTAATCCGGATTTATTCAATTCGGCGTGATGTTTTGATACAAGTAAAATATTTTTCCCTTTTTCTAGCGGTGGATACGTTTTCCTATCTCTTTGTTGACTTTCCACGCTTTGATAAGGTGAGCCTGAATGATCAGTGACATTTACCTTGTGAAAACGCTATATATTATAATAAATAAAGGTGATGTTACCCAATGGTAATCTTTCAATTGTTGCTTTGTTAATTTCGCGCATATATAAAATGTTTTTGAGAAAATAAACAAAACAAAAACTGTCCACAAGATTCATATTTGAGATGCCGGTTAAACGAATCTGTTCATTAGTCATCCAGTGCTCACTAAGCAGTAGTAGGTCTGGCTTTTCCTGATGTATAAAAAGTTCTAGCTGACTTATTTCCTTTCCCGCACCTTGCGTGTTAGGATGGATGACTTTAAGGGTATAACAGCCACTATTACTTACTACCTCTCTTATTTTCCATATTTATTTACATTTAAAAACGTTGTAAGGTTGCAAAGAATTATTTTATCGTTATAAGCAATAACGCTACATGTTGTTTTAAACATTTATGATTCACAGAATGTGGTGTTCCTCAGATGTACACTAAGCCACAGACTAGGATAGTCGGGGGACGTAATGCTCCTTTCGGAAGATGGCCTTGGCAAGTGAGTATTCAAAACAAAACGAATTATTTGCTCCCTTTTAGCACAATCGAAGTTTTATTTTGTTATAATGCAACAAGTATACAAGGTTTGTCAGGAAAATACGTATAAAAAATTCGGGGCGTCGGTGGTTTCCTCTCTCTATGCAATCCCATCTATGCTCAGTTCGAGCCGGATCGCTTTGTAAGTGGGATTCACTTGTGTTTGTTGAAAGTAACCTCTCTCTGATCTGGGAACAACGCGTCAATGTCAAGTTTCTTGCATAGCTAGGCAATAATGGTCGTGAGACTTTTAAGTGTTTGGAACAAGTTTACGTAGACAATTCTCCGAAGAAAGCAACCGTTAATAAGTAGTTGAAACGGTTTCGGGAAGGCCGAGACAGGAAAGCTTGAAATGAAAAATTGTGCGCTCTTGATTCCAGAACAGAAAGCAAGGAGGGTTGCTTGCTGTGCGGATTGATAGGAAGCAGAGGACAGGGGGTACGTTCTCATTACTGGAGACGAGTCTTGGTTCTACGGATTCGATGTGGAACTAAAATCTCGAAGTATGGAGTGGAACCAAGCAAGCGAACCGAGACCAAAAAAAGTCGAAAAACTCAACGTCCAATGTTGATCGTTTTCTTTGATTCTCGGGGCATTGTTCACCAGGAACTTGTCCCTCTCGGCCAGACAGTGAACGGAAATTCCTACACTGAAGTTTATCGTCGACTCAGAGTTCGTGTGGCCCGAGTTCGACCGGATTTGGCAGAAGGAGGCAGGTGGATCTTTCATCACTAGAACGCGCCTGCTCTCGTTCTGCGGGAGTTTTTTGGCCCGAAGCTCAATAACCTTAACAGCTCGCCCGCCTTTTTTACCCGATTTAACCCCTTGCGACTTCTTCCTATTCCCAAAATGCAAAACGGTGCTTCGGAGCCGGCACTTGGGGTATGTAGAAGCCGCCAAGGCAGAAACGACCCGGAAAACGGAGAGACTCACATTGAAGGCTTTCAGCGGTTGTATGAACACTGAAAACGGTGCATCTTGTCTCAGAGGAAGTAGACCATATTGAAATACCTGAACAATAAAGTTATTGTTCCACTTTTCTGCGTATTTTCCGGACAATACCTCGTACATTTAGAAATTATACATATTTGGACATGGATTCAGTTGGAAGTACACGTACCTATCCTTAAGGATTCACCTCCCGAAGTAAATCTGAAAAAAATTGAGTGTCGAGGTTTCCTCAATCTACAACAACCTTAGATGCATCAGGATTCATTTATACTTGAAGATGAATAAAATCAAAAAATGGTTTTCGTGTTCATAGGTGTCGGTGAGAAGAACATCCTTTTTTGGATTCTCAAGTACCCACAGATGTGGAGGTGCAGTTCTGAACGAGAACTGGATCGCTACTGCTGGACATTGCGTGGATGAGTAAGTAATTACACGTAAAAAAGAGCAGTCTTGGTTCAAGTGTAACTCTCTTGAATTGAGGATTGTGACTTTGATTTGTTTCTAAGACATACTTCGATCTATTTCTTAATTGTAACAGCGATATTTCTTTGAAACAGTGAAATTATCTCATTTCAAGTACCTGTGATCTCAAATCAATGTCATAGTTTGAAACAGAAAGAAAGCACGAAATTGACGATTAGGTTTATAATGGTAATATCCCGTTTATTGAACGATGACATTGATTTCAGTCCTAACCAGCAGTACGAAGTCAGCATAGTCGCATACCCAAACACAATCTAGCTTTCTCATTGTATGTGCTATACTGGGTGTTCCAAATTCGACGCTTGCCGATTGGGGTCTTGGAAACGGTAATATACAGGAAGTTGATTAAAAATGGGCAAAGTTGTTTATTTAGGAAACTAACAAAATATCACTTAGAAAGTTTCGAAATTTAAAGACGGAAAAGACGAAAATTTCACAAAATTGTTTTAATTTTTTTCTGAGTTTATTTTGTGGCATTTTGGAATAAATTGCACGTTAAAATTGTCTCTTTTTCTCATCGACAAGATGCCATAATTGGAATTTCAACTTCATTTTTTCTTATGGACGCCATTTTGGAAGTTTGCACAGAAGAACTGAGTTTTTAACTCTATTTTCAAAAATATATAATATGTCATACATTGAGATGGCCAAACCTGAATAGTTTTATAAAAAAAATCCCTAGGCAGGCTTGAAATTACCAGATAGTCATTTGTTTGACAAACCAGATTTATTATTTTTTCTTGACGCTATTTAATGGGATGGGATTTCAAAATAAATTTCATGCTGTTATCGCCGCTTTTTCTTTTCTACAATACGGCGTAGTCAAATTTTCAATTTTAGGTAAATTCGTTCGACATCAATCACCAACTTTGTTATTTCATATGGACGCTATAATAGAATTTTGTACGTTTTTGAAAATCCAAAACTGAACACAGTAACAGATTTTGGAAGAGCGAGAAGAGGAAAATAAACCAAGCAGTGAACAATGTACCGAGATGAGTCAGGGTTCGCCGAGAAAATAACAGACAACGTTTTGAACATCTGCTATGATTTACCTCTGCTTATTTAAGCTTATTGTTATCACCACCAAAAAAAATAAAAAATGAACGAAAATGCAGTGTTGAACAATCTTGAACTGTAAGCACGGTTAGTCTATCAAATGAGACAAGATAACTGAAGTGAAACTGTGTTACGGGTTTACGTACAACACAGATTAAAAGAAATAATCAAAAAACAAATCTTCAGAAACAATTCCTATACAAAAACATAACCATACCCTAAAGGCAAAGAAATTCCTATTATGGCTAACGATAGCAACCCAATTATAGTGTGAAGAAAATTTGGATTTCAATGACCTTTCAGTGATGCTTGATTTCCATGTTGATGATTTTCAATTAATAAAGAAAAATAAATACAAAATAAATACGTACTGAATTGTATGGTATGAATTTAAATGGAAATATGCAGGTGTTCAAATATCTTTGAACTGTAGTGTATATTTTAGAAGAAATCGACTGTATCAATTGCTTGAAAGACCCCTGTTTATTGGTCTATTATGATCCGCTTTTAGATCTTGCTGATCAATAGTAAGATCAGCCCATATAAGCATTTTTTGCATCGAATAAGTAGGATATACGTAGTGGTTCCGACTTCAGAAAGAGAAATTTCTGAGTGGATATCGAGAAATTTGCCCTATGAGGATATTGACCGACGACAGTTAATAGAGAATTCCCAGAAAATAAGGAAGCATTTGCTGCAAGGTGCGAGATGTGGCAGGAAAAGGAAATTCGAAGCTTGGCAGGCGGCGTTCAATCTCGCGGCTTCGGGCGCAGCTGATTTTCTTCGTAGTTTTGTTCCTTATATTCTCTCTATCTGCAACTCGATTTGCCGAATTAATCCTGATTGGTAGAGCGAACGAACGGATGATGAAGTGGAAAGCCAAACGCTGTCGACGCCGGTTTTCATTTACACTCTCATAATGACATACTTTCGCTCGGCATTATTAGTCGGAGTTTTTCGGATTGTTTGTTCTAGAACCCCATCTTTTACCCTATCTTGACACCCTGGCAGATCCAACTTTTCAACAAGATAGTGCCCGACCACATGTTGCAAGAGTCACAATAGACTTCTTTCAACATAATGATGTCACATTGTTATCATGGCCACCAAGATCTCCCGACTTATTCCCAATTGAGCACGTGTGGGATATGACATTTGTGTCTCGAATACGCAATACTCTACTACTACCACCTGTAGGATTACGTCGAGAGTCATTCCACTGCACTGTCAGTGTCATGATTGTCATAATGATGATTTGACTGACGAATCGACTATAATTTGGTGATAATGTGATGAACTAAAAAAACTAATAACTGTGTGCAAGAAAATACAAGGTCCATTTCAAATGAATGGTTTGCAGAACACGGAAGACCTATTGGCATGCGAAATGTTTACCGACGAATGAGAAGTTTTGGCTTGTTTTCATACCGGCCACACTGGGTCCTCCCTTTAACTCGAGAACACCGACGTAATCGCCTTGAGTGGTGCAGACAACGATCACTCTGTGATCAGGAATGGATTATTGTCTTTAGTGACGAGTCTCGATTTTGTTTAGGCATGCACGATGGTCGTGCCAGGGTTAGAAGGCGACGTGGTGGAAAGAAGGAATCCACAGTTTTTTGTTGAAAGACATGTTCATCACACTGTTGGAGTTAAGATTTGGGGTGCTATAGCTTATGGTTCCAGGTCACCTTTAATCTTCATCAGAGGTAACATGAACGCGCACGAAGTTCTAGAACCCCATCTTTTAGTCTATCTTGACATACTGGCAGATCCAACTTTTCAACAAGACAATGCCCGACCACATGTTGCAAGGGTCACAATAGACTTCTTTCAACATAATGATGTCACATTGTTACCATGGCCACCAAGATGTCCCGACTTATCCCCAATTGAGCACGTGTGGGATATGATGGGTAGGAGATTGCTCAATTTGCAACGTCCTCCTCAGACTCTAGAAGCACTTCGAGAGGAGTTGGTGGTTGCCTGGAATGAGATACCACAGGAGGACATTGGCGCGTTGGAGAATGGCGTAGCACATCAGGGTGCATCCACACATTATTAAAGGTCAAAGGGCTTTAAAGCAGTGCAATCATTTTGAAATTCTTATCATTTACTTATTATGCTTCACTAAGTACTTATACAAAATTTTATTAAAATATAACCATTCATATACTAGACATGAGGTCAGTGAAAAATTAAAACGATTTTGGGAAAATTCGGTTTGTTCCATCTTCCTCTGGAAGTACTATGAACATCTTGGTTACTTACTTAAATACTCAATCTTGCCTTCATTTTACCGACTTCGTACCTTTTCCCGTTTCCGAGATTCCAATGAGATGAGGGTTGAATCGGAAACATCCGGCACTAAATAAACCCGTATCCTCAAAACGACTTGAAGCACCTTTCGATCTACCTTTTCAGCCTGTTAACGTCACAGATCCGAATCCGAGTAGGCGAGTACGATTTCTCCTCGGTGGAAGAACAGCTGCCGCACGTGGAACGATCCGTTTCCCGCAAGGTGGTGCATCCAAAGTACAACTACTTCACGTACGAGTACGATTTGGCGTTGGTGCAAGTCGACAAACCGCTCGAGTTCGAGCCGCATATTCTGCCTATATGTTTGCCGGGATCCGATGATTTGCTGATTGGCCAGAATGCTACCGTTACGGGATGGGGAAGGCTCAGTGAAGGTGGGACGTTGCCTTCGGTACTGCAGGAGGTACGGCTATAAATAGTATTACATTATTCAGCTTGGTTGAGAAGTTTGTTTGTTGTAGAATTATTGAGCATCAATGCTACAATATCAATGTTACACAGAATATCACATTATATTTTATGTCTTCAACACAATTTCACAACTTCGAATTCTGGTTTACCATTGAATATGTTTTCAATTTCCCTTCAAACTGGTACACATCTTGATACCCTTGTTAGTTTATTAAATTCGTACAATCCTTTCTGAAATACTGATATATTTGCTCTATTGCAACTATTGAAAACGAAAGTCTATAGAATAATTATAGCGCTCATTGTTCAATTCAATAAAATTTTCTGAACGATTTGTTTGGAGATGATTTTTTACCCCGATAAGGGTTATGAAATTTTTGAAATCTAACCACTGCTGTTCTGGCGCATAAAATTTATTCTATTATACTATTTTCTTTTGTAAGATGATTCTCATAGTTTTATTTTACAATAATTATAATTTTCGTTTGCAATAATATAACAAATGAGGAAGAATGGTAGTGTTGTACACATTTTTTTTTTTATTTCTAAATTCTATCTAAGTAATTTATCTATTTTGATATTTTTGTAATAATATAATCATGGTGCCCTTAAAAATTTTAATTTACTATCTTCGTATACGCCTAAATATTTAAATGATCCGACTGACAATATTTTCATGCTAAATCATAAGAGTATTATTGTGATTTACATCTAACAACCATTTACATTGGTTTTATTTAAGCTTTAAATCAATAAATCTTCAAAACTACTGAACTCAAGTGCATTAATTTTATACCATTATATAGGAAATTTAAGGACCTTGACCCCCCGTTCCATTTTGCGCCACCCTGTATATTATATAATATATAATGTTTTCTGGTGTTTTCCACATAAATTTGTTTTACAGTTCTTTCTATTGCTATCGATGTTGTATTCATATTTTTTCTTACCATTTCTACTATCTGTTAAACATTTCATAAGCTTTTTATAGTCAATGTAGTCCCGAAATATTCGTGAAAACCGGAGTGTTGGAGTTTTACTTTGATATACCACTTGCATAATTTGTACTTCTCACATGCAGTTTTCCATATAATCTATCATTTTTGAAAACCAAGCCAATATCACTAAGCATTTCAATGATAGTGACTTTCACCAGTGATTCACGTAACTTCAATAACTGTAATTTCTCTTGATTCGCTCTCATTAAACATATTTTTCACCTCAAAACATACCCACGAATGGTCGCTTATTTTTGGAGTATGCAAAATCCTAATACTCAAATTCTGTTTATAGGTTATTGTTCCTTGCGTAGTCTTCACAACCTTTTGCCATAAACAATGAAAGCTCAACGCCTGTTTATTTTTTTACGTAAAACCCTTGATTATCAAAATGTATAGTGAAGTGCACACTGAAGCAATTTCGATAATACTGTTTTTCACATATACAGGTATTCTCAAAAAAGTAAAAAAGTCGGCTAATATTACAGCTTAGAAACCTATAGTAGACTTGTACGTCAAAATTTATATACCACTATTGATAATAATCAACTTCAGTATTATGTATTTTTACTAAAATCATACTTAGTTTATATATTAGTATGCCACCCGTATCTGAGTTTACTCTTACAACATAGTACTTATGAATATCAATCTCCATATTCTCAATATCTTTTGAAATATGTGTGTCAGTCAAGCGAGTAATTAATGGTTTCACTGATATTAAAAAAATTAACTTTGCCTGTGTGTGATAGAAATTCTTGTATATTTATATAACATATATAGTCAGTATATTTTTTGCGCATAGTAACTTTATTTTTTGATTTTTCATATTCGACTTGCACTTTATCGCTCATTTGACTCTTTGCAATTCGGACATACGAGGGTGGTCCCAGAAGTACCCCTCCCAAGGAAGAAAACACAAAATTTAAAAAGATTGTATTTACTTTTCAACAAAATCTCCTTTGAGCCCTATACACTTTTCCCAGCGATGTTCAATAAGTTCGATACCCTTTTTATAATAAAAACTGTCGTTCAGTATTGATGGCTGCCAAACTAATACTCAACAACGTGGCGCCTTCAAACTTGACACATATTCTTTATAGGTTGCATGCTTTCTAATACAATGATATTTTTCAAACAACTATCGCCATCTCTAGGTCAGGCCGGGTACTTCTGGGACCACCCTCGTATTATTTTATCTTTTGATATCACACAGTTTTATGCTTAACGATCACCCGTACCACATTTTAAAGAAATAGTGAGCCATTATTGGTCGAGTACTCTTATATTATAATATGCGATAGAATTTCAACTTGCTCAATCAATCTTCATCATTCTGTATAACCAAGTTTATTCTTAACAGGTGCAGGTGCCTATAGTGAGCAACGACCGTTGCAAAAGCATGTTTTTGAGAGCTGGGAGACACGAATTTATTCCTGAAATCTTCCTTTGTGCCGGACACGAAGGCGGAGGACAAGACTCTTGCCAAGGAGATTCCGGGGGACCCTTACAGGTATGCATACTCTTTCGTTTTCAAACCGAAGCAGCCGCGCAGGCAGAAGCCTAAATTCCGGGACACCTTGGCTGATATAATGACCCCAGAGAAATTTTGTTAATACGATTTTTGAACTGCTTAAGGTTAGTAGAACCCGGGAAAGCTTTCCTCTTGTAGACTGTTCCACAATCTCGACACCCTCGGGGTAAAGGAGCGGTCGTATCGGCCAGTTCTGGACGTACGAAGTTCGACACGGTTAGGATGGGATGCCAAAGTCAGGCGGGTCTGTCTGGTAGGCACATCGCGCGGCGGCAACATGGAAGCCAGCTCTGACGAGCAAAGCGGTGTAGCGATAGAAAAGAGCTAGATCGCCAACGGCTCACCGGTGGCCTTTGAGTCGGTTAAAATAATAATAATAATAAAGATAATAATAATAATAATAAAGATAATAATAATAATAATAATAAAAATAATAATAATAGTCGCCTTTATTGACCAGAACATGGTACATTACATGGGGCGAGATTTAGGTCCTACGATTCCACAATCTAATCTACAGGCTCTACAGGCTACACGATCTACAGGCTTTCGAATATCGCACAGTCTACCAGACTTTTCTCAAGTAATTATTGCTATAAGGATCACAGAAGCGTGAGGAGGATTGCAAATGCCACTCTGCTCTTGCTATGAGATAAGCGCGAAATTCAAATCCATGGCATCGACATCTCTTGCCGTTTCTGCGATCCTGATACAGATCTATAGGCTTCCGAAAATCGCACAGTCTACCAGACTTTCCTCGAAAAATTATTGGACGACGTGTTGCTATCAGGATCACAGAAATGCGAGTAGGTTCGCAATTGCCACTTTGGTCTTGCTAGGAGATAAGCACGAAATTCAAATCCATGGCATCGATACCTCTTGCCGTTTCTGCGATCCTGATACAGATCTATAGGCTTCCGAAGATCGCACTGTCTACCAGACTTTTCTCATAAAATTGGTGGACGACGAGCTGCTATCAGGTTCACAGAAACGCGAGGCGGTTTGCAAATGCCACTCTGTCGTTGCTATTAGGTAAGCACGAAATTCAAATCTATGGCATCGATACCTCTTGCCGTTTCTGCGATCCTGATATACAGATCTATAGGCTTCCGAAAATCGCACGGCCGACCAGACTTTTGTCGTGAAGTTGTTGGACGAGGAGTTGTTATCAGGATCACAGAAACGCGAGGAGGTATGAGGATGGTGCTCTGCCAATGCTATGATGTTGGCGCGAAATTTTGATCTTTGGCATCTATACTCCTAGTCGTTTCTGCAACCCTAATACAAATCTATATGATTGGAGAATCGTTATCAGGTTTACAGAAAGGCGAGGAGGTATGCAAGTGCCACACTTCTCCTGCTATGAGATAAGCACGAAATTCAAATCCCCATGGCATCGATACCTGTTGCAGTTTCTGCGATCCTGATACAGATCTATAGGCTTCCGAAAATCGCACGGCCGACCAGACTTCTGTCGTAAAGTTGGTGGACGACGAGTTGTTATCAGGATCACAGAAACGCAAAGTCTCTGAGCCCCTCCCATTCGGCATGTCCGTAATGCCAAATTGTGCGGCCTGGGCGATTTACAGGTAGTGATGAACAGTATCAATGTTGCTGTTAATCTCGCAGATCTTCGTGAAACAAATTTTAACTTCGATGTTGTTCCCTCGAGTCCCACCCTCCACTGGGACTTTCCGAGGGTGGATTGAGTCTACTTCCGCACTTCTTAGTACTCATCATTAATTTCTTTGTTGGGTAAGATAACCGACTGCGTAGCTTTGGTGTGGAGACATGTGAACAAGTGTAAGAGAGGAAAAGCTAGAGGGTGGTACCGCCTCGGTCGACTGGTCCTTGTCTACCACCTTCTGAACCATGGCGAATGGCGCAGCAGGACTCACGCACTGTTGAAAACTCTTACGCTGGATGTGTGCCGCTAAATAGGAAAATTTTCTCTAAGTAATGGAGTCACACGTACATTTATTACCTAATGTGGCTTTCGGTGATGGCCACAAATCCTATGCAGGACTGAGAAAAAAAACAAAGGAAATGGCAATAGGTGTCGTTGATAAGCATACTGACTATTCGACGATTCGAAAATTAATCTAAAACCGATCTTTTTGCGCTGAGGTTCTCCATTAAAAAATTTGTTATTGGAAATTGCCATTTTTTCCGCCAAGTACAATTCGCTAGATCTAGCGGAGGATCAGTGGTTCTTCTATATTATGCGGTATGTGTATGTCATCTTTTCTTCGCCAATATATTTTTCATGGATTGACAAAACCGGGTAGCACAAAGTCATAAAAAATATACCACCTAAAAGACATGATACGATAGTCGAAAAAACACATTTTTCTTATTTTTTCGTCGTAACTACACCCATTCTAAATATGAATCAAATCTCGTGAAATATTCGAAACAGATCAGTGATATTTTAGAAACGATATGAATGAAATATTCCTTACCCCTCAATTCAGTGATGTCTCTCAAACATAAATTGCGAAATGTTACAAAATTCGTATTCCTGAAAGATGTACGAAATACCAATTTTGAAATGTACTATTGGGAAAGATATGTAGTATACCAGAAATGTCTGTGAAGAAAACTAATCCTGCTGTCTCGAAAGAAAACTTCAACGCTGTAAGAATTTTAATTGAAACCGTACTGGATTTGAGTTGACATGAACTTGACCTAAACAAAAGACAGACTTTCTTTGGGCCTAAAATTTTTACCCTGAGCAATTTTGCTTTGTATCTTTACTGGTAACCCAAAACTACCCTGCCTCCTTTTTTCAAAGAGCCGGATACCCCACCACCGTATTTTTACAAAATCGTAAAAATGAAACGTTTTTTGTTGCAGGTCAAAAGCAAAGATGGCCGATACTTCTTGGCAGGTATAATTTCCTGGGGTATTGGCTGTGCGGAGGCGAATCTACCTGGAGTTTGCACGAGAATTTCCAAATTTGTGCCTTGGATCCTCAAAACTGTCACGTAACATTAAAGGGGCAAATCGTTGAAATATGTCATTAATTGACTTATTTCGAAACGTTTACATGCCGCTTATCAAAATTTGGTGCTCCATAAATGAGAGACGTTCACAGACGTGACACAGTTATTTAATAAAAAGGAAAAAGTGTTACGTCAGCCAGATTTTGGCAATATAACATTATTTTATGATGTTGTTATTGTTGATCATTGTTTGTTATAGTTGGTAGTTGTCGTATTTGTAAATAAACGATTCAATAAAGTAATTGTATATAAAAAATATTACCTAATAGTCGACGTTTTTCTATAGGATTAATCTGTTACTATTTATATTGCATCTCGGTGATATTTCATATATAGAGAGCTAATTTTTAGTTTTTTGTACTTATTACATATACATATTGTAAATTTCATATATTTTAAGTGTATTTATGTGATATTTATAATATTAGTGCTTGCCTATGTTATTAGTTATATGACCTTGAATAGTTTTGAATTTAGACATGTCCAGCGTTATAATATTTCACAAACCCAAAAACCGATGACTAGTAAATGATGTACGTCGAGTCCAAATTTTAAAAGAAAGGCCAATGCTTGGTTTGAAAATTATACGGTTATGATCTTTGAATCGGTTGTAGGCTCGTATACTGAAAGAGCACCCAGTAATAATTCATCACAGCTTTTTGTATACATATCTCTCAGGATTAGGTAAGCTATTAATCGAAATTTCAGAAAAATCCAACCATTGAAGAAAATGTAGAAGATTGATATTTTTTTGGGGCTCTGCGATATTGTATGCTCTCAGAAATATGTTTGTAATTGATTTTTACTTCATCTCCTAACTTGCGTGCTTTTTTTTAGAGGTATAGAACGTTAAATAGCAATAAAACAACGATGGATTATTATATTGACATGAGTCTTTTTTTATTTGAAAGATAATCTGGTGGCACTACGTATTCCGCACAGAATCATTACTTTCTAAATAAAACTGCACAATTTGCGAGCGTTGTTCACGCGTGAGACTATTCACGATGAATTGCCAAGCCAAACTGAGAATAAATCACTTGACGGCTGCCAAATCGGTCGCCATCTTCAAAAGTAATGCCAACTTAAAGTTTTATACTTCGAAAAAAAAACACCCGTTATAATACCGATCAAGGTGCAAAGTTTCGTACCATGATAGTCGATCGTAATACAACCGAATATGTAGTACTAGTGACATACAAAATTCTGTGTCTTAGAAGTCCATTATTTTTTTTAATCTTGGCATGCACTGTACTATATTGCTATTGACGATAAATATGTAAGGTTAGTAAACCGTTTGGACCCGTCCAACTCCATTAATTGTGATATTCTCTTAAATCCTTCTCATAATTGGAGTTGTCTCTCCTAGACGATTTATTTACTAACTTTATGCCGGAGAAATTGATATAAATAAATAAATAAATCGACCAGTAATGTAGAATATATGATTTTTGTAGCAAAACGAGTTTTATTTTTACCTATTCGTCGATACGTTGTCAATAACTTCTCAATACAGGGTGTTAACGTTACAAGTAAAAATTTCATATGACCCATGATCCAAAAGTCAATAGATTTTTTTCTAAATGGCTTTTTACTTTAAATGCTTTATATCGACTACAATCGTCACAATCTTACTAATTTTTATAATCTAATCTAAAACGTTTCTAAATTGGGTAAATAACAAATAAATAGCATTAAGTTTTTCTAATCCAAAATTTGTGGTTAGTAGGTAAGTAAGCTTCATCAAATTAAATATTTAAAACACACCTGACAACAGCGCGTCGGTCATTCATCACCCTTATCGAACCGGCAATCGATCGCAAAAGGTAACAGTGGTTAGTTATTGTTCGTGTACGTCGTCGTGTTTATTTACAAGAGTTCGCCGAAGGACATTTGTGCAAGTGTGCCAAAGACTTCGAGATACAGGAAGTGTTCAGCTCACTAATATTCGCACTCGTGAAGGACAAGTTATTGTAGACCAGGAGTAACGAATTTTAAATATCGTGGACATCGATGCAGATATCGGCAGTCAGGGATTTGGCCGCCGCGTAGGACTATCGCACATCATAGTCCATAGAATCCTACTCTACTCCTTACTCTAAAAAAATGCCGTTTTGATCCCCATGTTATATGAAACTTTTTACTTCTTTCAACCCCCTCTATCACCCATTTAAATAATGACATCACAACGTTTACATCCTGTATATCCTCGAGGAAAAAAAACAGCCATTCAATTATTTAAAAAAATGGATATTTATTTACAACACATTAATTCACCTAGAATGTCGAAACGAAAAATCTGTTATTGTCAGTTTTGCGTAATATAAACCAAGACTTTAAGCCGCATGGCAAAGATGATAGACTTTGCCCCACAAAAAGTGAATTCTTTATTTTCCATTATCCTATACGCTGTACATACATCATCAAGGTATTTTGTAAGGCAAAGTTACATCTGCTGACTATATGAAGATTCTACGGGATATTCGGTTGACAATAGATCTGCTACATTTGCAGTCCAAATTGTACTAAGTGATACATAAAATGCAACACACAGAATTATTAATCGAACTTTGATAAACACTTGTAAACATCTTTGCTATCCTGGACGTACACGCTGATAAAATGTTGGAGGCATTCCGAGCAGTACTTTTTCTTTGTAAAGGCATATCAGGATCCGAACAATGTGAACATGTCATCTTAATATTTAGCGATTTTTCTGTGTTGGTTCCATTTGTTTCATCGCATTATCATGCCTAGAGGTGCGAGTTTGAGAGCGGGTCGTATATCGGGTTGAAGCCGGATTTTCTCGAGGTGAATCGAAACGAAGCTACTGTAATGAGATGTTGTAGACCGTGGACCCAAGAAGGCCAAAATCGACGAGTTACAGAATAAGGTCTTTTGTACCATTTTCATACCGTCCCCTTCTTGTACTACCTCTGACGTCACAGTATAGTCGGCAACGATAGGTTTGGAGTGGGGAGAGACTTGAATGGAACATGGAATGGCAATCAGTCGTGTTTAGAGATGAGTCCAGATTCTGTTTGGGCACACATGATGGCCGTGCAAGAGTAAGGAGGAGACGTGGTGAAATATATTCCATTGCTTACAGCGCCGGATTAAGCCAGCGCGGGGCCTGTAGCAAATTCCGTCAAGGTCTTGGTTTGCTTTAGGTCCTCAAGTTTAGGGTATTAAATAAAACAAAATTGTTACAAATAAACGTTTCTGGATTTAATATGGGCAAATTTAGAGAGAGTAACGACTTCTTTAAGCAAATCATGCTCGATATTCAACAAAGTGAGATGATTAAGACGTTCTCGGCCCATCGTGTTCCTTAATTCACGTTTAATACGTTTTAATGTTGAAAATAGTATAGTATTCTAAATCATTTTTTATAATTCATAGTAGTCAAACCAAAAGGTGTATCACTGTTCCGCTATTTTCTTTACTTAAGGACGAAACATATGGAAAATGGGTCGCAGCTGATTTATCTAAAAGTTCAGCATGATATACTTCTCGCCTTCCTGAACAAAAGTCGACTTGTGACCAAAACAGTCTTATGATTCGTTTTCTAATACTCTAAGAATTGTTACTCGAAATAATTTCATTTAAAAACCTTTTAGGAACGTGTGAGGTTTAATGGTGATCTTGGCAATGGCCCTTAAAAGTCAATTCAAAAGCAATCTTCCTTTACACGTTGACACTGAAATACGAGTTGTTCGATAATTAAAAAAATAACACAATTCCGAGTTGTTTCGTTCCCTTAAATTATGAACTTCACCGGGTTGATTCAAGGTCAAGTGACTTTGAAATCGAAAAAAATGTAGCATAGCTTTAAGGTATTGTAATTTATTCACTATTAATTTCAGATCTTTGTTTTGGTCTGTACGGGTAAGATATAAAAAAAACATGCCTGCGGCTTTACATTTGCTATAATGGTCATTAATTATTGCATACTCATCAGGTAAGTCCTCATTTTTTTCATAAAACTGATTATAACTTATCCACAGTTTATACTTTATTGGATTTTTAAACCGTGAGTAAATGCCTTGTGTGGGGATACATTCTACATCATCGGACGCTAGTCTGACGTTGCGTTAATTCAGCATTAGCATCTCCCCTCAATAATAATTGGAAGGTGGTATCTATAAATAAGAGCGATAGCTATTTTATATGAATAAGTCTAATGGATTTGGTACCTGCTGCATTTAATTGGTTTTCGCTAGGAATTTAAAAATCAATTTTAAATCCACATTCACCATTTTTGCAAATCGGCAAACTTCACCTCCTCATTTCTCAGAAACTAACCATACTTAGTCCCATGAGAACTTTTGTTCAGGAAGGCGAAAAATATATTATTCCGAATTTTTAGACAAATCGACGTGGACCGATTTTTCATACGTTTTGTGCTGGGTTCTTTTATTATTCTTTGTTTTGATATAACCAAATACCCCGTATTCAACGTGTTATATTTAACGAGTGCATATTGTTTTGCAGGTAAAATCCAAATGAAAGTTACACAACATTTATATCTCCGATAAACTGTGATTACCAAGTAACAAATATAATATTTTGATTGAATAGTAAAACGTTTGTTTTATGCTTTTCGGCATGGTTATAGAAAGGCGTAACGTTTCTGTAATTCAAATTTATCATTTTAGAGTCTCCGAAAGACAATAATACTTCTCAACATTTGTTGCTCTGTATAACTACGACGAGATTTGTTCTATTACAAAAGCATAACATCAAACTAGAAATTTTACTTATACTATATTATATACACACATATATAGCCAAGCTCATCGTTAATATAAAAACATCCTGTACAAATTGTAATTCACCAACTAAATTATTGAAAAAGTGATATTTATCTGGCAGTTGAATAGTACATTTTCGAATAAAATATTTTTAGGTATACAATGCGTTGAATTTTGAAGTCCTCTTCGCTTTTGCAATAATCAGCTTGGACCAGTATCCAAGAAGTATGAAATATCAAAACACATCACGAAAATAGTAACAAGCCTACTGCTGAAAAGTCGATGTTTTATAAAAAAATGAATACAAAAGAAATAATAAATGTTTATTTCGGTACAATTATACTGAGTGTTTCCTAATTGGATGTCAATAGTTGAGAGGGCTATTTTTGCGTCTATTTCTAAGCGTCTTAGATTTTGAGATACAGGAAGGTAAAGGTTTAAGAATCAATAATTGGAACACTGCTGAATTCTCTGGAAATGAAAAAAATAGAGTGTGTTTTCGATTTATGATCTCTTGAATTTTTAGTCCAACGCTTCGCTTTAACCTAAATAAATAAAACCTATTTCTTTGCATGGTAATATTGTCATATTAACGATATTGTCGTTCTCATACAGAGAAAACGGCTTAATTTTCCAAGCGAAAGCCGTGCATCGGATAAAATTTGCTTAAAAATGATTCGGGATTTTAAAAATAATTTTTATTTCAAGAGAAATCAGTGGCATGTCATCAATGTGTACCAAAATGTCTCTTGATACATAGTGGGTCAAATTTCATTAAAATATATGAAGTAAGATTTATTTTTGAAGACAACCATGCTGTATCTCAAAGTTAGGAAACTTAGAACATACGCATACAGACTGTTGATTAAGTAACAAACGATTCTTTGCGTAATTTCAAGACAAACACTTCACATAAACATACGTCGGTAAATTTTTCGGTTCCAAGATACCGGGTGCAATTTAAAGAATGTTTTTTCGGAAATGTCTTGAATATCCTCTACCTAATTTTGTTATAATTTGGTGGTGGTATTAATGACATTTGTGCGACTTTTATTATGTTCTGTCAATTAAGCAAATAGAAATAGAACTTCGTACCTTGGTAAGTTTTCGACAAAGAAAAGTCCACTTAATTCCCTGGACCACAGAAGGAAATTATTTTTTGTATAAATTTTCATTACTAGCTAAGTTGATATTATTTAGTACTTGTTATTGTTGTTATATAATTGATGAAACATTATAAAAAAAATAATTTACAAAAGATACGTTTCCCCATATTCCTTTGTGGTCCAGAGATATGCAATTAAGTGGACTTCATTTTCTCCAAAGCTAGGCAGGATACAAAAAAATTCAAACTGAAAAAAAACCGTTTTCTCATTCGCCTAATCCAACTAACATAATAAAAATTGACCAAATTTTTTTTACAAATATTCGTTCAGATCCTGCTCGTGATGCCAGCTCCTTAATATTATGAACACCACCAAATTACAACAAAATAAGGTATACTTGAGATATCTACGAAAAATCATTTTTTAAACTCGTCTCAAAGAATCGTCTGTTAGCACATGCTTAATTTATACCTTGTATATGAACTTTTCCTTTTAAAATGGACCAAAAAACCGCCGTCTAAAATATTGATATTCAATTAGGAACCACCCTGCATAAACCATCTTGGCTTTAAATATAACTTAAAGCTAAAGTCGTATGGCAGAACAGTCAAGATCCTTGCACAATCAGCTATGATTTTTTCAGACTGTTGGACGGCAACTGATCCTGTTAAGTCAAGATCGATGTTTCAATGCCCAAAAGTAGCCAAGAATTTCCACACTACTAGACAACACTCCTGACAGCACCATATTTTAGAATAATATCGAAACATTCAGTCAGTATGAGTTTCATCATTGCTTTTATGTATTTTAACCAAAATATGTTTTCCGATCCTTTGCTGAAGTGTGCCGATGGTATCCGTGAAATCTGGATCTATGATAGGCGTTCGCAAAGAAGAACATTGCAGACTGACTAGTCTGGGGTCCGGGACGATTGTCAACTGCTCCAAATCACCCTGTAAACGAGAAAGAAAAATATACAGTGTTATGTGGAAGTATACGATTCACATAACTTATTCTGTGGTTTTTGGGGGCATAGAAATTCATTTTCCTGGCTATTCAAGTCGAGTATAGTTCCGTCAATAAAATATTTGGATTTTTTTTATGAATTTTTTATCTTTAGGGGGTCTCCCGCCTTATTTAGGATTTTTGCCAGAACGATTAACTATTAATGACCTAATTAATAGAAATTTTTTTAGTTTAAGAATTATTTTAATTGTATTTACATTAATTACATTATTCTTTTATATACGGCTAACTTTTTCGGCTTTTCTTTTAATTAAAGCAGAAACACTCTTATACCTTAATTTTTCTATAAAATTTTGAATAATTTTTGTTTATCTTTTAGCTTTAACTGGATTAATTTATTGTACTATAATAATTAATTTTTAAATTTTAAAATTTTTATTTTTTAAAATTTTAATTAAATTTAAGTTTAAATAATCAATTAATTTAATTAAAATTTTTAATTTCAGTTTAATTAAAAATAAGGACACTAAAAAAATAAAATTTAAAGATAAAGGATTTAAGTTAAAATAGAATAGATAATATACTAAGTGACATATAAATCCGAACACACAGTTTAAATGGTTTTATTTTAACAAAAGTTGGTGAATGTATTTATCTTACTGTAAATAACAAATGAAAACATTTTCAGCCTTATCAGTTGGACATTCCGGTTTTTATACTGCTTTTTTTTAATTCACTAACGCTCTAAAAATGAATATTTCAGCCGCAGTAAAGAATCAACGTTGGCGGATTTTGGTTCTTGACATCCTTTACGATCGGTTACGATGCCTAGAATACGGAGAGACCTGTACGATTTCGTCAACTTAGTGAGTTTGATAGGGGCCGTATAGTGGGACTTCGGCAAGCTGGACTTTCTTTTCGGGCAATTGCAGTTAGAGTGCAAAGAAGTGTAGACACTGTGGTTAGGTATTGTCAGGTATGGCTTCGAGACATTATGTATGAAATTTTTGAAAATATTCGGAATATGAACATTGAATATTTAATTGTTTGGCCAATAGCGGACAACATTTTGAAGAATTATTGAAATAAAAAGTGATATTTTCGTGCGTTTTTGATTTCTACGTTTTATGAACAAATTAGGATAATATAAGATTCTAATTTTCTTGAAAACGAATCGACCGATTTTGAAAAATCAAACGTCAAAATGAAGAACTTCGAAAGACCTTTCAAACAAGCTATTACTCGATACCCTCATTTGAAATCTGTAAGAGGATGACCCTAAAAGGCCGATTGTGAAAAGGGGGTGAGGTAGTTTTTGGTTAAAAAATTGTCCCCTGTTGACATGTCTCGGCGTTTTTTCTTATTTTTTTCAAAAAATCCGTGGTAGGAAGTTTTTAAATGAACATCCTGTATATGTGGTTTAATTCGGGCAGACAATGGAGTTCCATATGTATACGATTCACATTTCAAACGTAGGCATTCTCTATCTAATCATCCTGGTTGGAAATATCATACCTAAACTCCGAAATTTTCTGTGTTATGAAAGGAGATGATTTAGTATTATTCGAAGCTCCTTCTAGTTGCATCAGTGGTTAAGTTGGCAGGTTTGATAGTCAGATTACCCAGAATGTAGTAAAATTTAGATTCCCTATAGCAGGATTTAGGGCTACTTTCTAAAGCGATATCAAGCAGGCTTCTACTTACTGCGAACAGGTATCCAATCATGAGATCCGAATCATCTGGAATGTCCAATGTGTGGGTTCTTAGGATGTCAGTTCTTGACCATTCGCAGTCTACGTAGGTATCAACTACACTGTCGTCACGAATGCTGAAATCAAAAAAAAAAAAGATCACCCGATTCATTTTATTGCACTTTTTACTATCCTTGCTTAAGCGAGGAAAGTATTGTAATCGTGAAAGTTTACGAATACGAATAAGCAGTTTTTCGTGTTATAGGTCTACTAATTTCCGTTAATTATCATGGCGGAAAAAACAAAAATCGATGGAGTTAACAGTTAGTAGTATCTTGGAATATTTATAGACTGACATATCAAGTAGAATAACCATATTAAGAAAGTGATCAAAAAAATCAGAAATGTACCATGCCCAAGTTGAAACCCATATAATCCATAGCATCTCAGTCTGGAGTCCGCCTACAAGTCATATATATAAATCACGAGCAAGAACTGTCCCCAAACCTCATAAAACCATATTGAAGCGATATTTTCTCTACTTGGCCCCAAAATTATATGAAAACGTACCCACAAACTTAAAACGATTTCGAATTACACAATATTTAAAAAAAATATCAGAATGGATACGCGTAATAGGAAGCATACTCTATTCCTCTTTGATGTAAGTGTTTCTTTAAGATTCTTTTACCTTTTTTATGTTTTGTTTTGGAACACGTTCTAGCATACGACTGATCCATGTACAGGCATTATCCTTCTAAACACTTATTTACCCATTCTATGATATTATTGTTCTTATATAAAAATGTCTTCTTCTACTATGAGGCGTAGTTCAAAGATAATCGCTTCTACTAAATCAAATCAGAACCTATCTGGATCGTATTGACATATATTTCAATCCAAATTGTACTTGGATATTCGCGTATGTAATTTGAGTGCTTTGCATCGATTTTCAATTTGCGCTTTCGACCATACGTGTAGCTTTAGTGTGTCTGTGTGTCTGTGCATGGAAACGCAGTTAATTCCCGAGCAGCATGCGGCACTGGCGTGGTTCAACAAAGCTGCGTGTTACTAAATATGATTTAAGAGGTGTGCACACAGTGCCAGGGTATGTCGATTCACACCTGCGACTGATTTAGGGTAAACAACTGTGCAGCGTTCTCGTACATCTAAATGGCATTCCAAATACCGGAGATCCCGACAAAGTGTTATTATTTCAGGGCTGGGCACGTAATTGAGGATAACATCTGAAATGATTTTTATATATCAGCCTTCAAATGTTGCATCCACTGTTTCTCCACTGAGGCTTCCACGAGTATATCACACGATTTCAAATGAAATTTTTCCTTAACAAGTAGATGTTCTCTGTTTTTCTAATTTTTTGGTTTTGCCTCGGAGATGAAGATTCGGACTCATATTGAATATTTGAAGAGAGCATGAATAGCAGCCACTTATTATCCTTGAACGTCTCAATCAGGTCCCCTCGGAATCTTCACTGAGTGAGTGTTATCAAATTCATATCCTTTAGACGTTGCTCATAAGGCAAATGTCGAATCTCTGGTGGAATTCGCATTATTTTCATTTGAAATCATTCCAGTAGTTCGATGTTTTTGAGAAAATAGTAGTCTCTCTATCATAGAAGGAGAATGGTATTTGAATTAAATATATATTAACCGATACCTTTTTTTTTTGGACTTTTCAACACTGCAGAAAACTTCAATGGCAATTAACATTCCAGATATCTTCCAAATTAAATACAAAGGAAATATAACAGTATGTTTTGCAAATAATTTTGATAAATAGGTATTATAATAGATGAATGCGGATACATTTACAAATATCAAGTTTTATGACCCAGGCTTGCAGAATGTGCTGTTTGTTTACATTTGGTGTGCATTTCTAGATCATAAATTGGTAATAAATTGTTTTTGATGCAACAAAAGAGTACGTTTGATATCATTTTTTTAAATAAAATAGCTAGAAAACCTAACTGTTATTCCTTGCATTCTCATTGGTCCATTCAAATAAGTTACCATCTTTGGTAAAATGATAGAAATTGACAATTCTATGAAAGTTACCCTAATTCTAAACCTCAAAGACATGGAATTACATCTAGAATGTACCCTTATTTATAAAAAAACACTTTTTATGATTTTATTCAATATTTCAATAGAAATTACTGATATTAGGGGACCTTTGGCAGCTTCCGTCAAGTTAATTAAAAATTAAATCCTGGTAAGATCGGCTGTTAGTATGTTTCTCCCTAGTTTGAGAGATATTTCAGAAAAATATTTTAGAAAAAAATCGACTATATTTCCTGGTCAAGCATTTTGATCTCCTTTTAGTACAATTGTCTTTCAAGTAAAATATTAAATTATAGTTTCATGATCGGATGCCGCTAAGCAAATCTATAAAGATATCCTCAATGCCCTCCTTATCTCGACATTACGAACTTATACGGCTACGTCAAGGTCAAGCAAACATTATTATACAAGTGTCTGATATTAGGTCCGTACCTGAGAGCAACTTGGTGCCAATGTCCGTCGTTCAACTTCGCAGGTATTCTCAAAACATCGGTGCCATTCGCAGCTGCGTGGACCAGCTTCAAGTCTCCTGTATTCCCGCCAGCTGCTTCCAACGACAGGTACGTATCTTGCCGACTTCTTGAACGCAAACTCAGTATCGTCCCTAACGTCGACTAGATAAAAAAGAGAACGGAGGTCACTATTCCAAGTACACAACTTTGAAAATAGTTAAATTATTGTGCTCTAGGTCGAGCGGCGAGAACATTCCTCAATCTTTCCAGCAAATATGAAGGTTATCATCAACGCTGATGATATGATATAATCTCGAAATGAGCCCCAGAAACGATGGCAGAATTATTCTTTACTTACGTTTATTATTCTAATCGTGATGAACATAGCAAACTGCTTAGGGAAAGGCCTGTCCTTTTGATTTCTGAACAGCTGCGCAGACGGCAGCCAAATGTAGGAGTTGGGCTCCAGGTGCCAAGCTGCCGGTCTATCTGGTACCCTCCGCCATATTTCTTTGGACGGATGGAAGAACTTATGTTCAGACAGCTCTAAGGGATTAACTGCTTCGTCGCATCTGAATCAAAGGAAAAAAGTACATTGTTCAACGTATTCACCAGAAAGATGTCCGACACTGTATTGGACGTACACGTAGATACGTTGGTAAGTAGGATATCAGTAATTCCCTTGGAAGTAATAAAATTGTTACGTTATATAAACCTTCAAAGGAAAGATCGACCAACAACCTCCCGCGTAATTACTCCTAAGACTTCGCCTTTTCAGAATTACTCAACGATGGAAAAGGAAATCTCGTAACCTGCGGCAATACTCTCAAGGTGACATCGGTGACACCTAAATGCTGACTTGACCTTGAAACGACTTTGAAGGTATATGGCAAGGTAAAATTCGAAGTTACCATCAGAAAAAATCACAAGTTTGTAATCAGGTTTCATTTAGAAGGATTATTATACAGATTAGATATTCCCGTCGATTAGGTTTACTAGCAGCAATGAATAGTAGTTGGAAAATTGGGTGCGTCATCTATTACTATTTTTTCTGTTTGAAAAATCAACATGCTTTTTACGAGGTGAAATCGAATTTTTTTATTGATGAATGAAGGTTCGTTTATGCCATGAAAAATAACATCAGTCATGTGACCACCGCGGCTTCGTTTACAGGCCACCATCCGAACATCAAAATTTTCAATGACTTTTACCAGAATAATCGGGTCTATGGCCGCAATTTCATTCCGAATATTGCGCCTTGGGTCTTGAATTGTCCGGGGACCATTCTCATACACTTTTCCTTTCAAAAATCCCCCCAAAAAAGTAGTCGAGAGGTGTTAAATTGCACGATCTCGGGGGCCAACTGACATCTGAATTTCGTGAAATTACGCGATCTTGAAATTTCGTGTGCGATCAGGCGATTGTTTGGCGAGATGTGTGAGCCGTTGCTCCGTCTTGATGAAACCAAAGATCCACGAAGTTCTAGAACCCCATCTTTTACCCTATCTTGACACCCTGGCAGATCCAACTTTCCAACAAGATAATGCCCGACCACATGTTGCAAGAGTCACAATAGACTTCTTTCAACATAATGATGTCGCATTGTTACCATGGCCACCAAGATCTCCCGACTCATCCCCAATTGAGCACGTGTGGGATATGATGGGTAGGAGATTACTCAATTTGCAACGTCCTCCTCAGACTCTAGAAGCACTTCGAGAGGAGTTGGTGGTTGCCTGGAATGAGATACCACAGGAGGACATTGACCACCTGATCAGAAGCATGCCTAGGCGCGTTGGAGAATGCGTAGCACATCAGGGTGCATCCACACATTATTAAAGGTTAAAGGGCTTTAAAGCAGTGCAATCATTTTTATCATTTACTTATTATGCTTCATTAAGTACTTATACAAAATTTTGTTAAAATAAAACCATTTAAACTGGGTGTTCGGATTTATATGTCACTTAGTATATTATTAAGAAGCTGCTCATCCCGGGGCGTATCATGCAGCTGTTAGACATAATGAGTCACACGTTTTCCTTACAGCTGATTTGAAAACATAAATATTCTTATACAGGGTGGCCCAACGAAAAAATCACACGCCCGTTTGTGACGCTCCTGGTATATTTTGGGAAAAACGCTGCGACACGTCAAATTTGACTTCTAGGGGGACGTCTTCTCATCTATAGCCGATCCAAAAATCAAATTTTGCATTACACCTTAGATTTTTACATGGAAACTCCTATTTTTTTAATTTCTATATTTTCCAAGTTTTTAGCAACTTTTGGTTTTTAATAAAGTTCGTCTAACATTACTAAATATTGATAATAATGGGTTGCACGACAAAAAATGATAATCATGGATACCAGCAAAAACATTAATTTAGCATCAGTCAGTGTCATCGTATGTCACTGAAAAACTTTGTCTTTCATTTCAAATTGTGAAGTTACCTACCTAGTTGTGATAAATATTGAACAATAACTTATTTAATTCAAAAAAAGGTAGAAATAACGAAACTGTAATACCAAAATGGAAGCATTGCAAGCGATATTGTCCGATTGTTTAATGCGTTACATCCAGACAAATAATATATTAACGATGAGTATGTGGGCTAAGTTGATAAGAAAATCGGAATGGAACTGGACCGTTGTCTAATATTCGCCGTAATCGACCAATTAGTTATGAAGCTGCAGAAATAGCAGCAGTTTTGGACCACGCAGCACTTGACAATACTCAAAGCACTCACGCCCAACAGTACAAAGAATTTCGAAAGACAATACATTTCACTTCTCTGGTCCTCTTTCTTCTTGAAACCTACAACGAAGGCGTAGGAAGTAAAGAGTCAATCAACTTGACGCCATTGTTCAAGGTCAAAGTATACTTGCACGAAGACTGTTATCGATCGCGAAGTGGGTACATTCTGAATTGTATACAAAATCATGGTAAACATGCAGATTCTATTGTCCAACCAATGAGAGACGTCAAAACCTTGACGAGAAAATTACCCCCTGAAACACATTTTAGAGATGTCCCAGCTCCTTTTTAGAGATACCTTAATATTGCAGACTTCATTATCGTCATTTCATTTATGTCGTACTGATAATAGTATCAGTATCCCAAATCTACACAGGATGTAAAGGCGGAGAGAGATAGGGATATAGCTTCAAGGGAGTCGAGTTCGAATGGCATCTATAGAGATACTGATAAAATGAAAAATACGACCGGGGATCGATAAAGTGCTGTGTAGTTGAATTAAGGATGTCCCTTTTTTCCTTAAGGGATTTTTACCGATATAAGGCAGCCCGTAATTAGGATGTCAGGGATTGCTTTTAGCTGGGAAATATACTTATGGAAGGTGGAAGTATTAGAAACTCGAGGAAAATCTTGATAAAAAATACCTTTAAGAAATCACATTAAATAAGAACAGCATTTGACTGAGTCCATATACTCTATGTGGTTCTTCATTACGAGCTGAGATGACATCTGTGTGAGAACATTAAATCTAGTAGAGATGAATACAAGATAGTGTACACTAAAATTATAGTGTTCTAGTAAGAAATGAAATACGATATACAGTGGACCCCCGATAATCCGGCCGCTGTCTAATCCGGCGCCCCCTGTAATCCGACATGTCTTTGAATATTACATACATACGTATTTGACAATCTTCGCTAATGTAGATCACCTAGGTTTGAACAGGTTACAACTTGCACGCGCCACCGCTATCGTGCTCGACGCGTAAGCATTCCTTTACTTGGTTTGAATTTGACTACTTGTGATAGCGGTACGGCCTAGCGTGCGTTCATTGTTTACTATTTATTCATTGTGTATTAAGTATAGTACCTAGTAATGTCATTACAAACTCAGAAGCGAAAGCACAAAATATTGACAATTAAAGGAAAATGTGATGTTTTAGACCGCTTAAATCGCAACGAAACTTTCAGTAGTTTAGCAAGTGAATACGGCGTAGGCTGATCTACAATTTATGACATTAAAAGAAACCACGAGAAGATCAAGAAGCTCGTGTCAACTACTGACTGCGGGCCAGACAAGAGACAGACACTCAAGAAAGATAAAACTTCCAGAAGTGGAAAAAGCTTTGTACATGTGGTTTCTTCAGGAAAGAAATAGGCATGCACCAATTCCAGGACCCATGTTGGCCATGAAAGCTAAGTTTTTTATAAGGAGATAACAAAATAAGATGATTTTGTGGCCAGTAAAGGATGGCTAGAACGTTTTAAAAGTCGTCATGGCATACGTTTAATGACTATTACTTTCTAACGATGCCACCTGCATAGAGCTCTTTAAATTAAGACTTTTGCAAAGGGTGAACGATTTAAATCTTGACCTGTCACAGGTGTACAATGCAGTAATAGTAATAAAGACTATTATTGCTATTATTATTATTATTTGCCTTAGTAAGTAGGCAAAACTATTGAGTGCGGTCTCTTAAGAACCGGAGTTCTTTTTGCCTAGTGTTCAAAGAGCAATATCGTAGTGCATATTTTATTTTGAAAATCAAGTACGACGTTAACGACGTACATATGTCCTCAAACAGTTCCTGCAAATGGTAATCTAACATTGAACGTACTACCGAATAGAACAAAATTATCTACTTTCGAAAAATAAGGTTTATACGGCACAAAGGAAATGAATAAGGTCACGCTTTACTGGTTTCCTCCTTTAACCAAAATGGAAGATGTTTTCGTGTGTTCCAGATAGAAGTTTCGATTTCTCCTTTCCTACCCTCCAGCAGCGATGATAGCGGATTTCCAGCAGGACGGAGCATCAATCAAGATATAAACAAAAGTATATTGACGTCCGTTCCCCGAGATGAAGGATCGTTCTGGGATGATTCGATATTAGTCCAGTCCACTGTAGCTCTTATAGTCGAAAATCAACAAGAATTTTAACAGTATACTGAATATGTGAGTTGAAGGGGGTAGCCTTGCTTCCTTGTTTAAGTCAGAGATGTGAGACACGTTAGCCGAAAGGAAGCGACGTCAAGTAGACTGATTCTATACTTCCTACGCCCCCGTTGTAGGCTTCCAAGGAAAGGGGTAGTTTATTGAATATCTATCTGCAGCTCGATCAAAAATAACGCGGCAAAAGGATTTCCAAGAAAGGCCAACACCTTAAAGAATAGCGTCAAAGGTACAACAATAAACGACCTGGAGATAGGTGGGTAGAGGTAATTAAGCAAAAAAGTATATATAATTAAACATTACTTATTGGTATCTTTAACGTTATAGGGATTCTTGGAAAGGCATCCGGATATCCCGAGAAGAAGAAGTAGAGGGGTTAGTTCGTCGAGCGCATGTGTCTCAGAACAGGACATCAGAAACTGGTTGGTCAATATTCGTGACTACGGGCCAATTTAACCATCAACAGCCCGTTATTTCCCACCTATAGGGTAACAGACCGTCAGCGAATGAGCTTCAAGTTCCAATCAACAAGTTTTAGCAACAAAAAAATCAACTCTAGTAATTAAAACATGAATTTAATTCAAAAATCGAACATTTCTTTAAATTATGGCTGAATTATATGTAATTTCTTAATATTCAATAAGCTGGTGATGTTTCAATGACAAGATGTCATCTCATACTTTGACAGTATTCTGTTTTCAACATTTCATAGCTGTTACCCAATAGGTGGGGAATAATGGACTGTTGATTTGACAAACTTGGTGAAACCCATCCTAAGTGACAGCGACGAGGATGGTGACGATATTGATGATCAGAAAGTCGATGAATTATACGAATATGACCAGGCAAAAAAGGAATTTCTAAAGGACTATACTACACTATATAGGACCCGTCCATTAACTGAAACTTTGATGTCCCATATCTGAATGATATGTCCAATAAATATAGTTTTTAGTATTGGTGTTAGTCCTGCAAAGCTTTTTTAAAATTTGTTTCACTAGTCTAGTCAAAAAGCCACTTACTTTCTTTTTCTGGAGTTTCCATTTTCTCTTTATTATAATTGAAACCCTGGTTCGCGTTGTTTAAGCTTTAACTGTCCAATAATTGTCTGTTAACGCAACATGTATTGAGAATAATTTTAGGGAAAAAACACAGAAAAATTAGTCACCGTAAATGAAGTCTATTCTGAATTTTTATTTCCTACGCTTTAACTTATTTCCACGAGTGATCATCCTACAGCGCCACATAGGCGCCATATAGGTCGATAGATTCCATAAACCGGATCCGCTGAGAAATGTGCACATCGAACGAAAGTGTAACGATGTAACATGTAAAAATTTTAACTTTCGTTCCAAATATTTTTAATCCGTTTTGATGTGTTCCTGACATACAGCTGTATTTTATACTAATTTTAACGAATGTACCATGTATCCAGCTTTCACCAGGTTACTAAATGTTTCCCCTCAACTTAACCTTTAATAACATTTAGCAACAATCTCACATACTATTGTAAGTAATTTAAATTCATTTTGCACAATGGTTGCTACTTCTTCTTAATTTGCAGCTCCGGATGATGATGGCAAAGTGCATTGAAAGCTAGAGACTAGTAAAGTATAAAGAGTCCTCATTGCTTGAATTTTGTCGAAGTACCCAACTATATATATATATATATATATTAGCAATATATATCATGTATCGAAAAGTAGCATAAAGCCGAGGAATTTAAAAAAATCGAAACTTTTGAACGAAAAGGAATAAAGAAATAAAAAAGACGCTATCCAAATGTCCGATGTCTGGGCTTTCTCACGCAAAAATCGTTAGGTTCGCAGCTCCGTTATCTTTGGAGGAGATAGAAATTGAATATGTTTACCCTATATGGTTTTCATATTCTCGCGAATAAAAAGTTAAAATTCAATAAAGTCTACTTATCAAATGCAGAACAAGTATCAGTAGAGGTAAAGTTTTAAACAAGTAGTTCTTTCTGAGCCTACTGCAATCCATAATCACCATATGACTGGGCTAAAAATGATGGAACGATTTTGACGGTGCCGCGAACTCCAATTTTTCTCTTTTTTCGTCCGTTGACTGTATTTTTGCTGTATCGCTAATGAAAAATTTGTTGACGTGGTGATTAATCAACATTGCACAGCTGCGACACGGATTTTACATCGTAATTAAAAACTGTGTCAACTGTGGACAGCCTCGATGCGAAAAACCGCGTTTCGGAACAGTTGGTTGGAAAATTGATCGGATCACAAACGGGTTGACGAATTAAGTAAATGACCACATTCGGTAGAGATCTAACGAATGTCAATTTTTAGGCACTCGCGAATGAGAACATTTTCTGCCGAATGCAAATAGTGACTAGTCAAGTTTCCTAATTTGTGCATCATATCAAAACATACTTGAAAGAGAGGAGACTTCGAAGCTTTTATTTTTGACGTTTAATATTCCACCAGCCCGGATTGTTTATCGAATTGTTGCTTGAAAAAGTAAGAAAAAATGGCGTCGAGTAGGTTGACTCTGCACTAGGATATATTCAACACAAACTATTAGACCCTCCGAAAAAGTCAGTAGAAAAGGTCGATACGATTACTAATGATAATATTGAAAACAATAATAATCGTCCTTATTGCCATCATCTACGTAAGAGGAAACTTAGCTTAACGCTACCCTTACACCTAACCTAATGTAGATGTAGTAGACTAGGAAATTTTTAAATGAAAATAGACAAACTCTAATGGTTCACATGTGTCTATCGTACAGATATTGTTTAAGGTTTTAAGGTAAACTACTAATCAGTGCGATATTTTTGAAAAAAGGAAAGATACATACAAAGAATAGCGTGACACTGAGAAATTGGGTGATTTACATGTACAACAGGTTTTAAGTCATCATCCATTATAATACCTGTACCTAAGTTTTTCGAATGAACAACAGCCACTATTTTATTACTTTTAGCATTTCTGCCATGCCCTTTTTTTAACGCATTCCTTTCTGTTTCACTTGCGTGTACCAACATATTTGTCTTTAAGGGATTCAAAGGAAGAGTATGACTACTACTAAGCTTTTCAATATGGGCAAGATTGTGATCACTTTTATTATTCGCTGTTTCCACGTCACTACTCCTACATGAACAGAAAACTTAAGTAACGTCGGCAATTGTATTATTAAAATTAATGTACTTCAGTTCAGTAGTTTTGAAGATTTATTGATTTAAAGCTTAATCACCCGTTAGGCAAGTAAATGTTGAAAATGACCGTCATGACTCTCCATGCAATAATAAAGATTCGTCTTCTAATGATGTTGGCTGAGTAGCATAGATTTTGCTTTTTAAACGACCCCACATAAAGAAATCCAAAGGTGATAAATCTGGCGACCTTGGGGGCCATTCAATGGGGCACGTCTTCAACCAATCCATCGATCTGAAAACGTCTGATATAATATTGTCGAACACGTAATGGGTAATGTGGTGGGGCACCATCCTGTTGGAACATCAACCTATTCGCAATGTACCGCAGATCATTCTGATTTTCAATTACGGCTGTTAATGCAGGATCTATGGCGTCTTCCAGTAATTCCAAATTCATTTCACCGATCAAATTTCCAGGTAAGAAAAAAGGACCAACTAAATGATCGCCAAAAATAGCAGCCCAAACATTTAATTTTTGTGGCAGCTGTGTATGAACCTCGTGATAAATTCCGGGATTAGAATCGGACCAATATCGGCAGTTATGACGATTTAAGACATTTAAGAAAAAGGAACATTCGTCGGAAAAGCAAGAGTTGAATAGAAAATGTTCATCGTAAATTCAAATTTCCCGCGAATATTATAGCAGGAGAGGACTGCAGATCCAATACCTCTTCGCATTTCTGTTATCCGGATAGCAAACCCCAGTTCCTACAATTAGAGTGCTTCAGCCAGTAATATATGATGGTCGATGTGGTGTTTCTATTCTATTCTATTCTATTTATAATTCGTTCACTCATATCTTCACAAAATTGTAATCGGCCATCAAAATCGTCTTCATTAAGTTCTTGTACCAGGTGAATTTTATACGTATGAAAACTATGGGCCTTTATAATCCGTTGGACAGTATGTCGACTAACGCCACACACAGTCTCCCATTTGCGGGTGCTTAACGTAGGATCTACATAAACTTGCCCTAAAATCCCCACTTCTCTTGTCTCGTTCCTTATGGGATTTTCAATGTTGCGTTTTTTATTGGCGACTGATCCAGTTACCCGAAATTTAGCTACAATAGCTATTTTCAGCAACAAAATGATGAACCAACCATGGGTGTAGTGAAGAAAAGCATTTGCTTATTAAGTAAATTCTTCTAGTCCCAAGACAGATCCCTGTAGTGCACCAGAACAAATTCTTTGTGCGGTAGAGTACTGTTGATTTAGACGAACTTTTTAATATCAATTTTCAAGGTAGGTTTGAAATAAGGTGCCATTTTATAGCAATGTATAATTATACGCCAAGATTTGACGTCTTTTTGTACCAAGTTGTTATTTCTAATTCGTATTGTAATGGAAACGTTTTTTAATGATATAATTTGTAAAATTTTAATGTCGCTATTTCATAGTCCACTTTTATCAAACTCAATGCCTTTGAGCCTCATGCCTCTAACTGACCTGCTGGAAGCCAATCGTAGCCTACTTGCTGTGTGAGCGCGGAAGGGGTGGTACATTCAAAATATAGGTACCGCCTTTGCTGGGCGAGCATATAAAGGACGGTTATAAAACTTTGACCCAGCCGTAATGGAAGACCATACCTGATGGTGAAGTCAGTCAAAAGCCACTCAAGGAGGCTTGTAAGGACGACCAAAAAGTATATTTATGAAGTAGCCTACATCGTCAGGCCGCGGAAAAGTAACGTGAGAGTGAGCCTCTTACCCAAACTGATTGCAATGTCGCTGCTCCACGTTGAAACCTTGACACTCTTCTACAAGGCAATGCCTCGTACGTTGCTGAATTCCCATCGAACAAGTCACACTGCAGGAAGACCACTCACTCCATTTGCTCCACCCTGGAAGAAAAAAAAATCGCGTCAAGTACGTTGACAATGTGCTTTCCACGCAACACTGTCATCACTTCGTGAAGGATTGTGTTCAGCACAAGTTAGTCCCTTTTAGAAAAACGTTACTACGAACAGACAACACGATCTGACATACGGCTCTATCAATACTACCGATTACCTAACAATGCAACGTGGCAGGGCAGTGACCAGTTGTTTCTCCGCAACCGCATTCGAGGCGTATATCGAAAGGTATCTTTCAAGTTTTAAAGGCAAATGTACGGAGAAATCTATGATGTATGCCCAGCAGGTACGTAGAATTACCAGAGTTGGAAAAGTATAAATTGCTAGCACCAAAAAATTGACATACACTACAATTTTTAACTCCCAGGATCGTCTGAAACGTCAAAAAAAAGTTTGAGCTATTTTTATTTTTTGTGTTTCTATTTTGCCTGGAGCTTCACCACCGTGACCAATTTTCAAAAACTACAAAGTTTTGTCATCTTTGGCATAGAAGTAAACTTGGTGAAAATTTCATTACTATCGGTACAAGGGTATTAAGTATCTTGATAAGTGAAATTATGTCGATTTATTTCGAAATTGTATTGGTCTTTTGTGACATTATGTCGGTTTTTCTATAAGATGTTAACTCAGCACTAGCTGACGGACACGTTGTGACGTAAACGTCAATTATCAATGTACGGCTCTGGTGTGATACTATTCGCCGTTTGTTTGTCTGGGCGGTCCGCAGGACCTTTACCCATTAGACACTGTCTAAAGTACGTTAGTCGAATCAGTACTGGTTGCCCAGAAACCAGGCAATGTCAAAAGAGAAAGGGAAAGAGAAGTCAAATGGAGAAGAGCAAAGAAAAACCGGAAGTGTTCAGTTTAAGAGGAGACGCCTAGGCGCCTTGCTACGCGGATTAATTTCGAGGTGAACTAAACAAATTTTGATTCGGTTTTGTTAGAGTGTAATTTTAAGTCTACTAAAAGTTCGCGCTAATTTTTTATCACTGTGCGAGCCGTGTCCTTGAATGTTTACGAAGTTGCTACACTGGGTAGTCCACTGAGTCGCGCAATAGAGGGTTGGTGTGCGATTCCGCTTGACTACAACGTCGCTGCGCCTGAGGTTTGACATAATCCCTCAAGTAAGGAATGTCAAGGTCTCTGTGTAGTGTCTCATTTGAGACATACCATGGAGCGTTGCAAATTGTTCGCAAAGTTCTGCTTTGCAGTACTTGAAGACTTTGCAAATGTGTCTAGGAAAGGAAACACCAAGCCGCACATGCATAAGTAATGGCTGGTCTAATAATGACTTTATTTAGGCGAACTTTGTTTATCAGACTCAATTTGGACGATCTACATAACAAAGGATATAGTTGCCGAAACGCAATTTGAAATTTTGCTTTCAAGGCTGCTGTAGGTTTCTGCCAGGTCGTGCCTTTATCAAGGGTGACACCGAGGTACTTGGCAGAATTTGTTCATGGTACACGATTGCCGTCTACAGAGACCTCTGCTGGGGGGCCGCGACGTTTTTTGAGACAATAAATAGCCTGCGTTTTCGAACGATTAATTTTAATCAGCCACCATTCCGCCCACTCTAGTACTTCTTCCACCGCACTCTGCAACCCATCGTGAACCAGATCACCAATTCATGACTGGGCGACAAGTGCGATGTCGTTAGCATAGAAGTAGACGTCACACTTGCTGGGGCAAGATACATCATGGATAAAATGCGAATAGAGGATTGGTCCTATGACCGTACCCTGAGGAACACCGGCCCGTACTGGCCGTGTTGTTGACAAAACCTTGTTAACTTTGATCCGAAACTTCCCTCCTTCAATAAAGGATTTCAGTAATTTTGGAAGAAAAAAGGAAAACCCTTAAGGTTTTTGAGACATCCAAAAGCAAGATGCCAGTACTCATGTTGAGGGTGAACCCTCTGGTTACATGTTCCACCAGCCTGACCGCCTGCAGCTCGGACCGGAAACCGAATTGAACGTCAAGAATCACAGGGAGCTCAAAAGGAGCTGACAGCTGACCTATGGGACGGTAATCCTGAGGAAATGTCGAACCCATCTTCTCGGGAATCATGATGACCTCAGCAGTCACCCATCCAGCAGGGACGTACTGGATTCTGAGCGTCGCATTGATTATTGTCACCAAATATGTCAGAGCTTTCGGCAAGTGCAGCGTCAACGCCTTGTTGGTCATTTGATCCTCCCCAGGTCTTTAATATGACTTAGGAGCTCCGCTGGTGTGCAATGTGGAAACTCGGAAGGTTCCGCTAATGTGCTATGTGGAGTCTCAGACGAATCTTCTGAAGAAGAGTCATCTGAAGAGGATTCAGTGCCTCAGCTAACGCCGTTGGCCGTAAAATATCCACTGACGGATCGTATGATGTGCTGTTCCTCGTCGAGATCGTTATCAAAATCATAGCTGGGAGAGCGAAAATTTCGACCTTATCCTCCTCCAAGACCGTGGATGTGCAGAAGTTGTTCTAGCTTTCCGCTTCTGCATGACTTTGCGACCCTCCACAGACGAATACTTGAATCAAGCATTCCAGCCAGAAAGTCGCGCCGTTGCTCGTTGCGGAGTTCGTGCAGTGCGTTTCTCACTTCATCGTCAAGATTTGTAGCCGTACGAATATCATCAGGATGACAAGACCTTTTTGCCTTCTTAATAACGGCTCTTTTCTCAGGGATTTTTTTCTCAGCAGTTTGCTCATTGCTCACATCCAAGACAACAGGTGGATGGTCACTAGAGAGATCATACAAGATTCGAGAAGAGATACCGTATCTACAGTGTTTAGATATCGGTGCCTGAAGATGGTTGAATGGATGATGTGTCGGCTCTTTGGTGCTACGTATAAGCGTAACATGGTTGTACAATTGAATCCCACTAGTGGAATCCAACCTAAAATTCCATGCTCGATGTTTGCAATTGAAGTCCCTTGCCGCAATAAGCGTACCCGAGTAGTCCAACAGGATCTCCAGATCCGCCTCTTGTAGCCTGGCACCACACTTGACATACACCGATGTGGTCTTCAACGAGACACCTCCCGCCATATTGACCATTACAGAAGCTGGTTCGATGCTATCCATCTCCGCATTTATGCTTCTATATATTAATGTTGGTGAAATCGACCCTTAGTGTAACTTCTAAAAGCTACACATTTTTTTTCTTCGATTTCTTCCAATAATGTCTTTTTTGTTGATCTTTTCCCTAAAATTTATTTCACATATATATTCTAAACAGTTACTTTATCAAATAAACCTATAGTCAGATAAACATACAAATATATGACACTTGAAATAAAAATGTCACAACTATCCCCAGTCTCCCCTTCTTTTTTTTTCTAATGGCACTAGGACTATGTCCCATTAACCAGATCCTTTTTTACAATTTAAACTTCTCTAAGTAAGGATGGAATTGGACAGGGATACACCGTCCTCGCCTAAGGGCCCATTAAGGCATTTTCAGTCTCCCCTTCTATGGTATGTAAGTTTCTATTATGAGTGATCTTGATTTCCTTAATATTCGTATTTTATAAACCGTATAAGATCAAAGCGTATCTTGTAGTGTCATCATCATTCATCAAATATAGAAGAAATCTGACTCCAGGGGATATTGTGTTAACAAATAAGAAGAGGCAATAACATTCGATGACCTCCAACGCGATCTTATACGGGGAGATTCAGAAAGCCATGTTAATATTTTTGACGTAAAAAGTGTGTTTTTTATTAGGATGTAGCGTAATCCACAGAAACATCACTTTTTAGATTCAAGATTGCAGTTACGCCCCTAGCGACCATTTCGGAGACTTGAAAATGTTTTCCAGGTTTTTCTCTTGGCCGTTTTATATACCTTCGCATTCATAGTTGACTTGTCATTTTTTTCATCATTGTTCCAGTAACCTTGGAATTACTACAAAATCGAGCGCAAATCAAGTCACCTTCAAATGAAGTTAAATCGAAAACAAACATCCAAAGAAAAATTGCGTATATAATAAAATTCTCATATTTCATGGGTATTATATTCTCGTTTCATCAAAATGTGGATCAGATGAAAAATGACGCTTCGCTTGGCGTCTGTGCCATAAATCACACATGGAAAGTTTTCCGATATGAATGCGCTATATAACTGGATAGAACTCCACTGTAAATGCGCTTTTCTTGTAGATGCAGACGTGAAATATGGACTTTAACTAGCGACGAAAGGCTTTCGCCCATAAATTCGCCGTTTTCTCGCTGGTAACAGTCGACCAGTCTCACACTAGGAATATTAGAAACGTCTACAAGCAGCTCAGTTTTATGAACTGCTCTTTTTCCAAGAATCCTCACTCGAGTTATTAACTGTGCGACAATCGGGGGTGAGATGTCTGCCAACCGCCGCCGAAGCTGAATGATGGATAACAGATTTCAAAAGTTTTATTACGCAGTTCCATTGTCTGTACAATTTCTTAGAACTGGCGTGCATGTTCATTGCACGGGTATTTATACTTTTAAAGCTGACGTGTCCTATGTGATGACGTATCCTGGGTGGTGTAGTTCGTCGGAAGTCATATTGTGTCCACCGGGACATCTGCCCTCGTCATCCTAACCGTAGCGTCTTGATTCTCCCTGTAGACATTCGTCAGCAAATTTCTGACAAAAAGGCTGTAATCAAGCAAGCGAAAAGGCCCTGTCATCCTGATGACATTCGCAGAGCGACCAATTTTATTCATGAAGTAAGAAATGCTCTTCATAATTTCCGCAATGAGCAATGGAACGATATTCTGGCGGGGTTGCTTGGCTCAAGTACTCCTCTCTGGAAAGTGGCGAAGTCGCTCAGAAACGGGAGGCGAGAACAACTCCCGCACATCCGAGGTTTTTTGCAAAATCATTTAGAAAATTTATTGGAGGACGTGCCACTGAGTATTTACAGGGACATGTGGTTTCAGCATGATGGCTGCCCAGCGCACTATGCTCTCTCAGTGAGAGAGTATCTCGATCAAAACTTTCCAGGCAGAT